TATATATCCTGTCTAGAATTTTCATAAATCAGACGTAAAAATGGCCAATTTCGTCAGATTCCGAATTTTTGCCATTGGGTCTAATGTAAAGCATGGCTACTTTCAGTCTCTTGGGAACACGATTTCCGTCCCTCAGATTAAAAAACACTTCAAAAGTCGCAGGTAGTAGACGATTTAATCTACAAGATAGCATCTCGCTTTTTTCTGTATCTGGTCATGTATCTTCATAAAACCCTCTCAAATATAGTCAATTTAGCATTAAAGTCTATGGATTTAGAAGAAATTAAATATCTGACTAGATTTGGGCTACCATGTCTGTTGACCGGGGGCCGCTCTTAGAACTCCGTAAAGTGAGGATGTTACAGGGTATTTCGGGGTGCTGATCACGAATTTCATGTTAGTTTTTATCACAGACGATCGCTTCATGCAGATCAAGCATGCAGATATGCCAGGTCGGGTTAGGTTAGGTCATGTCAACCAATAGGCGTCCTGCTTGCTATTCATAGTAGGTGTCGACTACCATTGACAGCTTTGAAGAATGTTACGAAGGCGCCAAAACTACTTCGTAAATTTTCAAATAGCTTTTAAATTCGAAATCAGCTCCAAAAACCACTCTAGAAACAAATAAAACTCAAAAAGTGAACCAAGGTCATCAATGGTCATTTACCTTGAACTGACCTCAACGTGACCTTGTCGTCCACCATAATGCATTGCATCAACATCATTACACATGTTTGAACGTAGCCACAAAAAGACTAAAAACGTGCGGATAATGTAAGCAGACGTACGCCGATTCACGATTCTGCCCAAACATTGTCTCAAGAAATAGGTCACAGGACAAAAGGTCAGTTGGGTCAGGGTCATGACAATTTTAGGCTAGATGTAAAATTGATGAACTCGAGAGTACCGAAAGTTTCGTCGTGATCAGCTGCTTTTTTCGCGAGAAATTAGCGAAAAACCATGGGGGTCCATCCGACATGAGGTATATGCCGTGTGTACTGTGTATACTGTAGGTATAGTGTATATTCACCGCATCGGGACCTCGGTAACGGACAGACGCAGCCTTCTTGAATAGTACTATAGACGGCTTAAGTCCGCTCCAATCATGTTAACTCGTATATGACTGAAAAGAATCGGTATTTCGCGGATTCACTGAAAAAGAATCGCTAGTCCGCGGACTAACTAGAAAGTTCGGAGATCCCCGCGACTCTTCAGTGACTTCACGGATGCACTGAAAACTCTAGTAAATCCGCGAAGCCACGGCAGTGATTCCGCGGATTCACGAGAGTTTACGTGACTCCGCGGAGTCCCTAGAATCAACCAGTGAATTTGCGAACTCACGGATTTCGCGGACACACTGTAACATGCGCACAAAGCCGCGCACGGCCGGTCCCCGGACTGACTTCGCCTGGCTACGGCCTGCCACCAACCGCAACCATACCTGTCAGGAGGCTCATTAACGTCAAGCGTCTATCGCACTTCGAACCCGGGCTGTTATAACCAAGTTATAACCGTTATAACCGGGGATGCGTGCTCTCACCACGCGGAGTCCAACGCTCTACCGACTGAGGTACCTACGGGATCGGAGCTCGTGGTATGAATATGAAGTCACATAAAGTCCGGGAGTTCCTAAATAAACAGTCGTATTTAAAAGCTGCATATTATCAGCATGGAAGGCACGGCAAAAACGAATCACTTTCTAATATACACAATAGTCGATGCCATTTCACGTGATACAATCTTCTTTTTGCTGTCTTTTCATTTGCGACCACAGAGGACGTGTTCCAGATGAGCCCCCTCTCGCTCCACACACAGCTCTGCGCGTCGCCGAGCGGACTCCACCGCAGCCCGGCAGATCTCCGGCCGCACTCGGCGCACGGCGGACGACACGGCCCTCTTGAGGTCATCTGTGGTTCTGGGGCTGCTTTTGTAGACCTGTGACTTCAGGTGACCCCAGAGAAAGAAGTCAAGTGGGGTCAGATCCGGAGAGTGCGGGGGCCAGGTCCGCACCTCTCTGCGGGAGATAACCCGCGAACCGAATCGGTTCCGCAGCCATTCTCGAGTCGCAACGGCCGTGTGCGCCGAGGCTCCGTCTTGTTGGAACCATTGTTGGTCCATCAGCTGCCTGTCTCCACCCAGCCGCCTGTTCAGCGCAGTCCAGAACTTGGCTAGGACTTGCCGGTAGCGCTGAGCGTTGACGGTGACAGACTTCCCAGAGTCGTTCTCAAACCAGAAAGGTCCGATGATGCTACTGCTGCTCATTGCACACCAGGCTGTGCACGTCACACTGTGCAGAGGAGCTTCCGCGACCAAATCGGGTGGCTCCGTCGACCAGAATCGAAAATTCTGGGAGTTCACGCGGCCATCCATATGAAAATGGGCCTCGTCGCTGAACCAGATTCGGTGAAGGAACTCATTGTCCTGCTCGCAATTTCTCAGGAACCAGCCGCTGTAAAGAAGCCGTGACTGTTTGTCGACTTTCGACAGTGCTTGGTGAACGGAGACCTTATACGGGAACAGCTGAACGACGTTTCTGGCCAAACGGTGAGCGGTGGTTTTGCTACAGCCCAGTTCCTGGCCCAGCCGTCTGAGCGACTTTTGTGGGCTCCTCTGGAGGGCTTCTCGTGCCTTTTGGGCGTTTAGTGGCGTCCTCTTGGTTCTTTTTCGGCCACATTTACCCTTTTTTACGTTCTCCACACTACCTGTTGAAAAAACTTCTCAACTATACTTAAAATTACGGTTCTTGATGGCACTTGGGTCTTTTTTAAGTGTCGGCGTAGCTTACGTTGTGTTGCAACGATTGACTTTGTCTCAAAATAGAAATGTACTATTTTTGTTTTTTATTTTTTAGGGGGGGGGGGTCGGTTTGACCCCCCTTGCCGTTTGGCCCCTGATCGAGCTAGAGCTTCGCGGAAAAAACGAGCGTGTTGCCTGTGACGAGAGGAAGCCGATGATACCCAACTTTAAGGCCCTAGGTCATTGGTTGACCTTCCAGGTCAGGTCAATGACCCAAAGTCGGGAACATCGGGACCTGTTAGAAAGTCGTAAACTGTGGCTGCTAAGGAGTTTTTCGGGGTGCTGATCACGAATATCGTGTTAGTTATGATCATAGATGATGTCTTCGTGCATTTAGACCAGGTCGGGTCAGGTCAGGTCAGGTCAACCAGTAGGGGTCGTGACGGGATTTCGTAGTACGTGTCAACCGCCTCTGACAGCTTCGTAACATGTTACGAAGACACCAAAACTACTTCGTAAATGTTCAAATGGTTGCTAAATTCAAATTCAGCTCCAAAAACTAGCCTAGAATCATGTACAGCTCGAAAAAATGAACAGAGGTCGCCAAAGGTCAATGACCTGACCTGACCCTCAGGTGACCTTGACATCCACCCAAATGCATGGGAGCAACATCAAATCTCATGTTTGAGCGTTTGAAACCACGAGAAGCTTGCAAACGCGCAGCTAATGCGAGCCGACAATGACATACGCCGAATCGCTATTCCGGCCAAACATGGCCTCGAGAAAAAGGTCACAGGTCAAAGGTCACTTGGGTCAGGGTCATGAAATTTTCAGAGTAGGTGTAAAATTGATCAACTCGAGGGTACTGAAAGTTTCGTCGCGATCGGCCGCTTTTTGCGCGAGTTATTCACTAAAAACCTTGGGGAGGGGGGGTCCATCCGACCCCCCCCCCCACACACACACACATGCGAGGGTTAACCCGCGCCCCACTGGGGTCTGCGTATAACACGCCCTACTGGGGGGGGGGGGCTATTCATGGCCCCCCTCCTAACTCCGAAACTACTGGGCCGATCGTCAAAATTCAAACGGCGTCTGATAGCCCCGGAAAAACTGTCGAGCGAAACATAATTTCATTGACCTCGAGGTCACTGATGACGTCACAGGTCAGGTCAAAGTAAAAATTATTAGCATTTTGGCTTCTTCGCGTTTTGGGCTCTGGCCGCCGTCTTACAAGTCAGATCAGGCTCATTTTTGGTTCACACACTCGTGAACAGATGCTTCAGATACTCTGAGGGTACCAAACTTGTACTTTGATTTTCAGGTCAAGGTCAGGTCATCACAGGTCACGAAAATATTATATCATCCGTCGGTCACGTGACACATGTTTTATGGTCCATTTAGGCCAAACATTTCGAATTTGATGTCGTCTGTGTCATTCGAGGTCATTTTGAGTCAAATTTAGCTTAGGTCAGGTCACTTTCAGGTCAAAAAAGGTCAAATTTTGAAGTTAAAATTTTTCAACAAAAAAGGTGTCTATTGGATGCAGTTTGAGCTCAGGAACACGAAGGTGTTATTTATATTGGCGTGCGATGTCAAATTCGTGCTGAAAAATTGATTTGAAAAATTAATAATTGTTAATTTTTTGCAATAATGCGTATAACTTGGCCATTTTTGAAGATACTTAGCTAAAACTTGCTAGAGTTAGTCATAATAATGCGTTCTATCACATATATTCCGGTTTTCTCGAAAAGTCAAAAAAAATGAAAAAAATGTAAAAATATTTACATTTTTTACATTTTTTTTTTACAAAAAAAATGTAAAAAAATGACGTCACTCTGACGTCATTTCCGGCCGACCTATGGTAGGTACGAAGTTCAAATTTTGACACAAGGTGTCAAATTGATGCAGCCGGAGGTACTGAAATTTTGGCGTCGATACGTCAAGCGTTTGGAAGCTATTGCAGATAAACGGGAGGGGGGCTATAAATAGCCCCCCTCCCCCAGTGGGGCGCGGGTTAAGTTAAGCTGTGCGAGCGACCGCCAGATGACAGGTCACTTGTTGTTTTACTCTTGTCCCCGCAAGGTGTCAAGAGGAGTCGGTCGGGTCATGATGCAACAAACAGTATGTGGCTAGACACGAGTGCGTTTGTGAGGGAGGCGCGGGACACGCAGAGCAGACTCGCACAGCGCTGGCAGCGTCAGTGAAACACCACCCAGGCCAACAGAGGTTGATGATACAAAAGGCCCTATTCAAATAACACTCACCTTGATTTGTCCAAATCAATAAAATAAGGACAATGATAATAAAAATAACAAAAAGAAGTGCAAACTTCTTTGAAATAAGGCGTGATGCCATCATAGTACATCCATGTTACACAAAGTTGCCTGAAACAAATCAATGGTGAAATGGTGTAAGTGATGATTGATGAATAGGCATCACATGATTGGCAAATGTCGACGATAAATGTTGACATGTAAAATCAATAAACGCCAGACCAGAACGCTTCGCGCTAAATGGTCAACCCAACCAAGAGTCTTACAGATATTACAGAACCCATTACCCAGCCAAAACCCAACCATATCCCACGCTCCCACCCACTCGCAATGCTTGCACCTTGCAATTCACTCAATATACCCTGACTTGCAATTTGCTTGCAATGCTTGCAAGATCCAAGGCCAAGATCATTGATATTTGATTGAGATTTGAGATGTTTACCCTCATGCAAGCCAACCCTCATGCAATCCAAGATGCAAGCCCCCATCACGGCTCTCTCTATCGCCTGGATAAAAATAGGCCCCGCCCATCCCAATCAGCTGCTGCATGACGAGTTGATGACGACAACCACTACTTACCAGCAACCAATCTAGGGATAGCGTACGTGACAGTAATGGTGCAGCGGTTGCAAAATATTACATTGTTATTCAAACGGTTTTTGCTTTTAGGGCCTTGTTAGATGAGGATGAGGTTAGATTAGATGAGGTGTTGATGAAGGCAGGTATTTTTTTTAAATATTTTTTTGACAATTTTTTGCCCTTGTTTTACTTAAGCTGAACCCGGGACCACCTGAAGTCTAAACCTTATTTTATATAACATGTCAATGCTGATGCTGTCTTGAAATGTGAAATTTAGACAATGGTTATAGAAATAATGAATAGCAATTTCACCAACAACATTTTAATCTCTAGGAAGTGCAATTAAAATTAAAATCACTGTCTGCCACACTGCTCCATCCTGGTCATGCAACCAACGTTCATGGGTGGTGTTTCACGGCAGAGCACGCACTGCAGTGCTCAGCACTGCAGTGCGCTGCGTGTGTCAGAGCATTGGGTTTCCATGGCAGTGTCAACAAACTTCACTGTGACGCTAAGCTATGACAGCATCCCAGAACGCTAGCACGCTGCGGTACCAGCACCAGCAGCATGCTAGCAGTATTTGAACTCAAACCTCTGTTCTTGGTACGGTTTTTCAGAACCTCTCACTCTGTTCCAAACGCGATTGATCATAAACTAAGAGATCACATGCAACGTCATTTGAGTGATGCTATGGTATGCCGTAGCTACCAGTGCACACAGTGTCTGGATGGTGAAACAGGGCCATTATTAATCACATTTGCTTTGCTTTGTTTCAGCAGAAACCTGTCTGCACATGGGAGGAGCTCAACAAAAGCCCATCAAGTTCATGCATGGCAGTGGATCTCAACAGGAGAAAACCAGAAAGAACATGGATGCTTGTAGATTGCAGTTGTACACTGCTGTTATCACCTGATGTGCGTGGCTGGCATTGCTCCTGGCAAGAACCACCTGCAAGTGATGAGAATGAGATGGTGCCTCAGTCGTTGAGTGTGCTGCAGTGTGAGAGGCGCCCTGATCTCTACTTTGTGATAGGTTTCCATTGGAGGTTCAACTGAGAAGTGAGAACTGACTGTGACCATGCTTGAGCATGCCAGTGGAGCTTTACATGCTTAGGGCAGCTTTTGAACAGATGCTGACCATGGCATGTCCCATCCAGTTATCACGTGCACAGAATGGTGGGGGGAGGGCAACTCTGGGCTCTTGAGTCAGCCCTACTGCACAGGGGGTACAGATGGCCGCTTACGTTTGGTGTGTCCTGCACTGCATTATCAAGCCCAGTCTGCGCCACAGGCAATGGGTCGGGCTGCACTATATTAAAGGCAGACTATCTTGCAAAGGAGGCTGGCATCCTCTCCCATAATGACACACCAATTGGCAATCATCGCTGCGATGATCACGAGGGTGTCCGCTTATCTAACATGGTGAGGTGGAGAGCCAGTTCAAGCTGGCCTGAGGGATGGTTTTACTTCATCTGAGGCCCCCTTTCCCCGCCTGCCAGGTCCGGTCAAACGACCGCTTCACAGTGAACGACTTGCAGTGGATGCCGTCCCACAGCGCAACGAGCTCGCCGACCAGAGGCGGCGGCCAAGAGGCGGCCGCGCTCCCCCAGTCGACGGTCCCGGTGGACGTCGGCGACGCCCACCGCGCGACCATCAGATCGGCTCGCGACAGCGCCGTCGCTGACTGACCGCATGACTGGTATCTGTTCTTGATGTGGGACCGACTGCCACCGCCGGTCGCGGAAGGGCATCGCTCATCGGCCATCGACGTCCGCCAGCTTCGCGTGGGTCACTGTTCGGGCTGCCACCAATACACCGAATCGGATGGAACCCTGTCGGCGAATGCCGGCGGTGCCCCGACATCGACTGCGCGGCGGCCAGTGCATCGCGTGCCGGGAGGAGGCTGGCACCCCCGATCGGTCATTGGTCACAAACCGTGTCCCAGCTCATGACTGCATCCAGCGCAGCTCTGTGAGATGTTCTGCAGCTGCTGCAGTCTGCCGCGTGTGTTAGTGAAAGAAGAATGAACATGAGAAAACCTCAAAACTTTATGCCTATTCGCAATTGACCAGTATTGGAATAAGTTTGGATTTTGAGAATTTGTGTCCCTGTGCTTGTGCCTGTGTGGAAAGGCATGCTTTACGGTGTACCATCTCAATGTCAAATCCCGGCTGCGCTGTGCGGATTTGTGCGGCTGCTGACAGGCCACCTGGGTGCCAACGTATGTGCGAATCCGCGAATACGTTGTGTTTCGTCAGTCAGTATCGTTCTGAAAATATTGACTGCAATAGGCTATATAGCGTATGACGGTTCAGCCCAGCAGTAATAACTGACCATTGATTGGGCGAATTTTGTGTGGTGGTTCGCTAATACATAACCTAAAGAGTGTTTTGCCGGAATCGTTTAGTAGCAGAACTGACCGGAATATAAGTAGAATGCAATGGTTTGAATCGTTAATTTGTTGAAACGATTGTTCTCTGAGACCACTGTGTAACTTTTGACCTGAGAATCACCAATTATAACGACAATGGGGAAGCAGTAGGCTGTACTGTAGAGTGTAGGCAACACTATATAGTTGGCACACATACGGAAGCACACGACTTACGCAGTGGACATCTGCATCATGCATGTTAAGGTTTACTGGGAAGAGTGAGAAATTAGTCAGAATATAACTGACTAAGGAAAATAGGCGATATTTCCTATTGAGCTGGGGCGGAGAGGGGGAGGGGACGTGTGGTCAGCTATGCCAATAATTCATTCTCTTTATGCAGCTGTGTAAAAGGGCGTCCGTTTTTGGGTGAGACCTTCCCCATCGGCCATTTCCAAGTTAAATCGTGGTGGAGAGTCTGGAGACCTCAGCCTCGGTAGTCGGCACCCTGCGCGCTGCGCCACCTTGCGAAACATAAAGCAGCAGTCCTGACATCTACAGGCGTGACTTTTCATGAAAGCGCGGATGTGTTCGCGCTTATGCGAAAAAAATGCTTCCGAGTATGGTTGATAATGAGATTAATTGTTGTCATTTATTTATTAATTCATTGGCAAAAGTACCCTAATAAATCGGTAAAATAGCTTGAACTGTATCGTATTTCCTTGGGAAAAAATGACGAACTCATCCTAAGACATCCAGATTATTGGATGCGTTCGTCAGTTGTAAGTAGTTCAAGTTTTTGGGAAAATTTGCTTGTGGAAAATCATAATATTTCAAAGATATGCCTATTTTTGAATAATTTATGCATTCATCTGCATTGAAAAATGATTGTAAAGCAAAAGTGCAAAAGATAATTGTCAATTTATTTTCTCAAATCACAATTTACGAACGCACAAAACTCCAGCTTTTAATTTAGTGCGTGTGCGAATTGCGGTCAAGAAAAAATATTTAAATTGTCTATATTCCTCTTAAAACAATGAAGGATGAATGAGGAAAACGCTGTTTTGAACAATTGTATATTTATTTTTTCTTAATTAAGCAAAAGTACAAAATTTTCAACTTTTATTACATTTGCTCTCACAAAATCCATCACTTTTTAGCATGACGTCATGTCAGCCAAATTTACTAGCGCCATCTCTGGAGAGCATCTTTCGAAACCTCCAGACGATAGAGAGAGCCCCCATCACACCATCATCACTCAATATACCCTGACACCAAGGCGCCCTGTTCAAGTGCTCTGCGGCCGCCGCGGCTCCCGCGGCCGGGCCGGGGCCCTGTTTCACCGGTGATAGCAGCAAGCTGCTATTACGTTTCGCGAGCTGACGTCATGATGTGACGCCATACTGTTGACGTAATGGATAGTTCCGGCGCACGATTACCGCGACCTTGGCGGCGGCATTAAGTGACGTATGAGCCTAAAAGTAAGAGTTTACGCAGTCATGATAGTATATATATTTTTGATATATATTTTTTCAATATGATGTATTTAAAAAAAGTTGGGTTTAGGAAAAATTTGGACATTAACTTCGAACATTTAGCTGATGACGTAAAACAATATTGCGGCAATCGTGCGCCAGAATTGCCCCTTACGTCAGCAGTATGACGTCATCACATTACGTCAGCTCGCGCAATTTGATAGTAGCTTGCTGCTATCACCGGTGAAACAGGGCCCGGGAGGCGGAGCCTAATTTCGGTTAGGTTGAACACCCTTGCGGCTGCGGCCGCTGCGGCCGGGGATGAGAATGGCACGGTTGTTTTGAAAGGAGATGCTGATCAAAATTTTGTGTGTAATGGCTTTATAATGGCTTTATTACTTCAATTAGTACCTTTTTGAAGCAAGTATTCCTTAACAACATAATAAAATCAACCGAAACAAAGAGCGAAATCCGCAATGTTTTGTCTCACGCGCGCAGTTTATGTCGAAGTTTCCCTGCGGTCGCTCTCGAGCGACCGAGGGAGCCGCAGGAAGAGCTACGCATTACCCAGAATGCTGCTCTCGCCTAATTGGCCGCCAGCTAAGCTCCGCCTTTTTGGCCGCGGGAGCCGCGGCGGCCGCAGACACTTGAACAGGGCCCCTTGACACCATCATGCGCGCCAAGTAAACCTCACTGGCTCACTGGGCTCACTGGCCTATTGTTTTGGCCTTTGTCGGCTAGATATAATATGACGTAAAAGTTGATGAAGGGTTTAACTTTGTTTTGGTATGTTTGGTGGCTGACGTATCTTTATGTTTGTTGGCTAGGTCAGGTCAATATTTATATTAGGATGGGTTGTCTTTTGGTCATCATTCGGAAGGTCGGTTGTCTTTGCCAGCGTCTCAGAACCGCTGCAATTGGCTAGAAGCATAAAAGTCAATGACGTCACATACAAACGTATTTGAAAAATATTGAATACTGGCATTCTGACTATTTTATAAGCATTCGCCTATTTTGCATTTGTAGCGGGTTAAGGTGCCCGTCACGGTATATATACCGGGGTTACATGAGCGATCCGTTCCAAATACGCACTACGCTAATGCGCATCAGCTCCCCACGAACGTATCTACGGCACCGGTTACATGAGACTAATTCGTTTTATCTACGTCAAACGGATCTTGTTTGGCTCACCCGGGCTGACTCCTCGACGGCCGGTAATTCGTATCACAAACGGAATAGGATTAGCGTACAGTCATGGCGCAGTTGCGGCATTTACCGGGACGACTGAACTAAATTTTAAATAGTTATATCATTTGATAGTCTCAAAAACATTTAAAATTAACATGAAATCAAAAAATGAAAACAAAGTTTTCTTGTTTTAAGTCAGTGGGCACTGATTCGCCATGCAGCGACAGCAGGGTGGTCAGAAAAAATTATGTATCAAAATATTTCATTCATTTTATTTCACATCCAAAGACTAAACCAAAATACCAACATTTTTTTTGCTATTTTCTACGAGGCAGCCAATAAAAAAAATGCTTAGTATTTTGCATTTTGACGCTTCCAGTCAGCAAAGAATAGTTCTTGTGAAATACGGCCCGAATCGTGTGCCTCGGACGTTTCGGTTACATGAGCGATCCGTTCCAAATACGCACTACGCTAATTCGCATCAGCTCCCCAAGAACGCATTCAGTGCACCGACTACATGAGCAAATTCGTATCAGTGACGTCAAACGGATCTAGTTTGGCTCTCGGCCCGATGCGCATTACAAACGGAATAGCATACAAATGTGGCGCACTTCCGTAGCAATAGAGGTGACTAAATTAAAAATTTATTATCTTATGTCTTTTTTGCATTTAATCTGCTCAAAACATTCTCAATTAACTTAAAAAAAAAAGTTGAACATAAAGTTGTCTTGTTTTGACTCATTGGGCAATTGCCTCTCTTGATTTGTCTGTAGTGCTGTCAGAAAAATGTTTCAACTGAAATTATGTGGATATTTACTATTTGGTTTTCACTATATTTATTGTTGAAAACTTGACAAAATACCGACATATTTTTTAAAAATTATTTCAAAAGAAGAAAATGAAAAAAATACCAATTATTTTGCATTTTAATGTTTCTCTTTGCGAAGAAATAGTTCCTGTGATACGTATCTTGAACCCGGTTTACATAGCATATTTGACGAGGCTCTAGCTCGTTAATTTGGCGATAATTTCGATGCAGTGGTCTTCAAATATTTAGAGGGGATCATTTTGTAAATTGTTAAGCACCATTGACATCTTTTGCAACATCACGGACGGAGATATAAGCTTGCAACAAACCCTATGTAAACGCGTCTTTGGTCCTATTCGCTTCTAAGCCTCTTTCCCAGCGGATTTTGTTCCGACCGCCGATTCGTATTAGCAGGTGGATACATGAGTCGGTAGTACGCTCCTGATTCGCATTAGCGGTGAATCCGATCGTGATACGTATTTGCTTTGCTCATGTAACCGCGGATCGGATTGCCGATTCGTACTAGCAGGTGGCTACATGAGTCGGTAATGCGTTCCTAATTCGAATTAGCGGCTAAATACGTATTTACTGTGCTCATGTAACCCCGATAATAGAGAACTAGGTAAAACCGGTTCGCCGCCACAACACTAAGGTATTTTGACCACTATTTTCAGCTGGCCTTCCAATTCCAAAAAAGGGAACTAGGCCTCATATTTTTATATGTTTTATTATTTACATATATATTATCCATAAATGTATTCAGGGCAGGACTGGTGTATTTCTGTAAAGTATTTGCGAAGATAATTTTGAAGCCGGCCACGCCATTTCGAAAATAATAAATCTTAGGTTGTAGGGATTCTTTAGTAACGAAAATATGTTTTCATCCTTAAAAATAAAAACTAATGGTGAAAAACTATTATCATAGCCTAATATTGCTTCTTTGAATTTCGAAACCACCATGCTCCCAAAGTTGACATCCCGCCGGACCTGCCAAAGTTGTACCACGAATTCTCGAATAATACCAGTGGTGTGGGTTTCAAATCAGTAGCAGTCAATATCAAAATTGAATTGTCTTTCATATTTTATGTGTCTTTTGCATTTACTAATGCTCAAAACTAGAATTAATCCATGTCGAATACATCACCACCATTGGTGTTCTTTGTCACCCTGTTCCACTAAATTTAATATTGTTAAAAAACAAGACCGAGTCGGCATCCAAATAAACCACCAAAATGTGCAAAAATGCACAGACTATAACATATAAAAGTATTAAAGCTCAGCTAATTGGGGCTCATTGTCAATTTTCCTTCCAAAGTTGAAATTTAAAGTTTTGGGTACCAAACACTCTTGAACAAAAATATTCATAGTTGGTAAACCTACCGCAGATGGGCTCATAAAAGGTGTTCATCATAATAAAAATTAAATTTTATTTCCCGATAAGCATGTTTTATTGCAGTTTCGGTGACATAAGATATATTTTTTTGGTCTAGAATGTGAGAGCTTCCTTGCTGCCAAAAGTCACACTGTAACAATCAATGGAATATTACTAAGAAATAAAACCGAGTCGGCATCTATTTATAGTACAATAATATACAAAATTAAATTTTCTATCTGCTGGTGTAAGGTTTTATGCAAAATAAATTGGGGCTCAGTACGAAATCCGATGTTAAAAACTGCAGACCATGATTATCACCTGCAGCTGCGCACAGTTTACTGTACTGCTATCGCTAGCGAACGCCAGCGCTCTCATTTGATTGGTTTAACGGCGTGTTCGTTGCTGACGGAGAACATCCCTGATTTTTGAATTTGTTCTGATTAGGCCGATCAAGGCCCCCTGTTGATGGTAGAAGTTGTGAAGCGCATAACATAAAAGAGTTGTGTAGAGATTGTATGGGGTGTTGGCGTTTTTGAAATTTCCTTTTTCTTGTGCTCTTTTGTGATCTTTGCAGGGGTTGGAAATTTGCAATCACAATGCCACCAGGAAACATTTTTTTTTTGTTTTCATGCCACAATTATGGGCAACACGGCAGGGCAAAGTTTGCCTCAAGTCCTGGCTCGTTCGTAGCCTTGATTTGCATTCAAGAAAGCAGGTCTGTGCCCAAATGGATGCTGCACATTTTTTATATTCTTCAAAGCAATCGAGGTTCATTTGCCGATGCTGCATGGAGTATGCGAAGCAAAGCAGTGTCATGCTGGCGCGGAGACGACGTGAGTATGAAACAGACTACAATACTTGGCAAAAAGGCAAGCAAAATGCATCACTTAGTTCGACTAATCCGCATCATTCTCAGTCGGGGAAACTATGGTAAAATCTGCTATTTTTAGCAGTCTGCTATTTTTAGCAGAAATCTGCTAAAAATGGGTACGCATGTGACGTCATCGTACCCAAATATAGCAGATTTGGGTACGGCCCCATACAAAAGCAGATCTGTACCCTAATTGAAGCAAATGCGCATCAAATGCCGGGCAGATTCATGATGAGAATAGTGCTGAGAGTGATCTCTGCTATTTTTGTTCAGATCCGACTATTTTCAAATTCATTATTTGAAAATAGTCGGATCTGAACAAAAATATCAGAGGACATCCTCAGCACTATTCTAATCATGAATCTGCCAGGCATTTGATGCGCTTTGCTTCAATTAGGGTGCAGATCTGCTTTTGTATGGGCAGACTGCTAAAAATAGCAGATTTTACCATAGTTTCCCCGACTGTTCTATATCAACCAATCTGGAAATGTGTACCCTCCAAGTCCAGTGTACCAGTATGCCCTGCATAAATGTGGCAGAATTGAGCCAGAGCCCATGCTAAGCATGAATTGCTGTGTAGACCTACAAACCCCACCATGCACCAGGCATCCTTGAGCATGTGCTGTGTTGTGCAGGTGATTGTGCATTGGTGTTCATGTGCTCCTGGGTGCCTTTTTGGTGGGGGGGGGGGGGGGAGCTCGAGCTGGTTTTAGACTAGCAACATTATTTCTAGACAAGTTATTTGTTGATTTTTTACATTTACTTAAGTTACATTTGGAAAGTCTTACATTCGGAGTACAGCTAGCAAGGCACATCAGCCCACCATGGGAGTCTGACTAGTAAAATGTAGTGTTTGCAACCTGTGGTGACATTGAATAAGCGAAATGATATAAGATCGTCATTATGCGCTGCTGTCGCCTTTGTTTTCATTGTGTGTTGTGTGGTTCTTGAGTTATCATCCTATCCACCAGGTTGTATCTGGCGGTGGTTCTGGAGACAGCGCGGTTCGATCCAGCTGTGGGCCGGACGTCACCCAGCAGAAATGGCAGCGTGTTATCACCACCTACGAGGCGCGCATACAGACATTGTCCAGAAACAATCACGTCATCTCCAGGTCAGTTGTGCATCCCACCGACTCTGTAGGGCAGTGATATAATGCCAATTGTGTTACCTGCCCCCTGATAGGTGATAATGGCGTCCCCCCGTTCTCGGTGAGTGGCGTGATGACTGTGACCGGTCACCGGTCGACCACAGGTCGATCGGGGCCGGTTGTCGCTGTGGTCCAAGAGCCGAGGCGGGCCCAGGGGCGACCTCCTTGGCCGTCTGCTGGAGGCGTGGTCCCATACATGCATTTCCCATCAATATGTGAATTTATCAATTTATAGGTAAATGGTTGTGACCAATCACTGTTCAACATCTGCCAATATAACCCGACCTGCGTCCTCCTCTGCCCTCCACCCTCAGGCAGTCAGCTGAGTCAGATCCAGGACCAGCTCCAGAGCCTGAACCTGTCATTGAAGGCCGTCAGGCACCACCTATCCTTCACTGTACAATCCTTCGGTGTTACAAGTTACAACCAGATTAATTGCTTTATGCTCCACTCAGTCTGCTGTTTGACCATAATGGGCTGTTTGAATGGCATGGCATATTGTGTCATAAGGAAAAAATATAGCATTGCAGTTAAAGGCCTACTTGCATGACTATGCTTCCAGTGAATGCTCTGAATATTTCTTGGTGAGTTAAATAGATTACCTTAGGGATATTCAGCATAGGACTTGAAAATAATATGGTCCCTAATGAGTCATTAACTCTTTACTGTGTTTCAGAGCGCCACGCGACCACGATGGGACTGCCAACGATGGCCTGCTCACCGACAGCTCCCCGCCAGCCAACGGGCTTCCGCCAGCCAACGGCGTTCTGCCCGCCGATGGTGGCCCGACGACCGACGGTCGCTCGCCGGCCGAAGGTGATCCGGTTCCACATAATCGCCACGCCATATGTGGAAGGCTTTTGGTGTCAATACATACATACATACATACATAGCCGAACGAGGCTCGCCGACCTTAACGCCGACCGACGCCGGCCCACCCGCCGACGGCGCCCTGCCAGCCGACCGCGTCCCGCTCGCCGACGGCGTCGATACGCCGGCGCGCGTATCGACATTGATCAGAAACGATCACATTATGTCCAGGTCAGTAATTGTGTCAACCAACGCATCCACAGGTCAGCTGTGTCCTGCTTCGTTACTAGGTCAGTGACCCTAGGTGGGTTGCTTGGGGGAACTTTATGTGTTGCCGGGATGGGATGTCTGCTAATGCAGGTGCCGTTGCAACTTGCAAGTGTCGTGACGTATGATGGGTCTCAGGTTCGGGCTTCAATTTATCGAGTGAGAAATGTGTGTACAGTCTGTCTTAAAAGTACCGCGCAAAGTGAGGGTGGATCCATATTCCATCAAGCCTGACTGAGGTAGGGCCTGCTATAATTTGAAAGTCACCGAACCAATTGACCTAAGGAATGGATGAGGATGTAAATTGCTTCAGTGACTCAAATTTAGTAGGCCCTTCCTCGGTCAGGCATGATGGATCCACCGTCACTTTGCGCGGTACTTTTAAGACAGATTGTACACTGTACAGGCTAATGTACTGTTATTATAGCTGAGTGTGCGACAGGAAACATGATGAGCTATGAATCGTGGTCGCCGTGGCTCATAGTGGTATTTGACGACCGTCGTGACCTGTGACGGTCACCGTGACTGCTATGTGACGGTCGCCGCGGCTGGTATATGACGGCCGCCGTGACTTCTATAACGGCCTTCGTGACTGAAACGTGACGGTCGTCTTAACGTGCCGCGACTCGCTGCTTTACAGGTCACTGGTCGCGGGCGCTCGAGCTGACGGTGTCTTCCAACGGCTCCACGGTGACCAGCGCCGCCACCGCCGAGATCATCCGACTCCTGAAATGATAATGGCCGTACACGAACAAGAGGCTCTAAGCATCCAGGTGCAAGCAAGCGCCATGCTCCGAGGCGTCATCCGAAGAAGGTCGCACAGGGTACTTAAGGCTGAGCTCGGGTGTAGTGCGCGCTGACGGATAGGATTAAATGACGGCCATCATATTTCAGTGCTGAGATCAAGATGGTCGGAGCCGACGTGGCTCGGTTGATGGTGTGTCAGGGTTGATTGAGAGTGGAGGCGAGACACCCGGATGTGAAGGATACGCTGATACGGGTCTCGACGTCGTCTCGCAATTTGTGCTATGTAATATGACGGCTATGCCGTGGTATCATTCACTCTCGATGCGCTAATAAGTAATAACTAAGACAGATACTGGAGTTAAGATTATTATATTTGGATGTAAGGGGCAGATTTTGGCCAGCGCTATTTTAGAAATCGTGAGCGTGCTAGTTGCAATAAATCGCGCGCTTCTTGCTGAGCATCTGTGAGCGAGAAAATACTTTCTCTGGAACGTTCGTCGTAAAATATGTGTATCTTTGGAATAAGTTGTCAGAACATGAATGAATTTTTGGTGTCCACTGCAGCTGCTGTTCTGGAACAGAAGCATGCCGAGATCGGCTGTGTATATACTATATACGCTGTGGCAAAATCAAGCAGCCGTACCATGAATCAAAAGCGATATGTGAATTAAAGTGGATATATTTCACTATTTGTTTCCAGGTTTATCATACAGATCACAGAAATGCGTCAAATACTGATCACACCCGGTTCCAAACAACTAAACGCTTGCGATCACTGGAAAGTAAATAAATAGATACCCATGTGGCTGTCTTGTCTGGCGTGATCCGAGACTCTCTCTCTCTCTCTCTCTCTCTCTCTCTCTCTCTCTCTCTCTCTCTCTCTCTCTCTCTCTCTCTCTCTCTCTCTCTCTCTCTCTCTCTCTCTCTCTCTCTCTCTCTCTCTCTCTCTCTCTCTCTCTCTCTCTCTCTCTCTCTCTCTCTCTCTCTCTCTCTCTCTCTCTCTCTCTCTCTCTCTCTCTCTCTCTCTCTCTCTCTCTCTCTCTCTCTCACCCTCTCTCTATCTCTCTCTCTCACCCTCTCTCTCTCTCTCACCCTCTCTCCCTCTCTCTCTCTCTCTCCCTCTCTCTCTCTCTCTCTCTCTCTCTCTCTCTCTCTCTCTCTCTCTCTCTCTCTCTCTCTCTCTCTCTCTCTCTCTCTCTCTCTCTCTCACTGTCGTTGCTGACGCACAAAGGACAACACGGCCGAATCGCGACGATGGAGAGCACGGAACGATGCTGGTGACTGGCGGACGGTGGACCAGCGAAAACAGGAAAGGAGATGAATAGCTCTAGCTCCCGTCTGCGCGCGGAAGGGTGCTGATTGGCGCGGCTCGCAGACTCCATTGGCTCATCAGACTGTTGTTGGTTTTCTCCCTCCCCTCCCACAGGCGTAGCCAGGTAGCTAAGTTGTGCACGGAAGCGAGCGGCCAGAGCAGCGCTAGGTGTCGCCCTCCCAGCGACCGGGCAGTGCAGCTGGACGTGCCCCGGATGGTCCGCCTCTGATCCCGGCACACTCGGCAGAGTGCGGCCGGACACTCCATGGAGTTGCATAGCGTCGATAGGCCGTATGGTGTCGCTGTCGTAATTATAAAAGCGTAAGTAGAAGGTTGAAGCAGGATATAGAATGCTTTTCTTTACATTTAATATCGCAAAGCACAGCTTTATGCGCTGGCTACGATATGTGCGTGTCGGTTGCGGCAGTAATCATCGAAGAAATATATGATTTATGAACGTTTCTTCATCATAGAATGATAAAACATTGCAATGTTTGCCTGATGTGAAGATAACTCCTATACTGCCGCTCTATCGTCCGGAATTATTCGTGTTTGATTACGGCAATTCCGCCACTCTATCAGCTGATTTTTGTTTCTGAGTCACGTGACCAACCGGTGTCTCCCTGGTGCCCGTCTTTCCCCACTTTCCCCTAACTCCTCACAGGAACAAGATACAGTCGCGCGGGTGGTCGCAGCGTGTTCAGCTCGTCAAGGCGCATCGAATGATATACATGTTGACCTTGAGGTCACGTGACCTGAGGTCAACCTTTGACATTAACTTTTCGATGTCAACACATATATGATTCGATGCGGATTGACGAGAGGATCACGATGGTGCCATTAGTTTGTTCCTAGCTTGGCTACCGTAAAACGGGGTGTTAAGGGACAGTTTGAAGGTGTTTTGTTATATAACTCAAGAAGGGTTGGAGAAAGAAGCATCAAATTGTCAGCATTTTATGTGGAATTTGGTGCTTTACATGCCTGCCACGTTAAAGTTTTTAAGATTTATACCTGCATATATTTTTTTATTATTTTTCATCACTGTCCCTTAGCACCCCAATGTGGGGTGTTAAGGGACACCTATATTATTCCAAGAAATGGTCATCAAATGCCCACAATTGGGGTGTGGAAGGGCACACAATTTATTTATTGAAATGTTTTGCATATTCTGTCACAAAACAAGTCAGGTTCATTCACCACTAATGACCTTTTTAGCCAATTACGTGTAATGCAGTTTGTGGTTGTGGAAAAAGTGCTAATTATAAGGTAAACAGAACCAAAAAGTACCCTTCTGTCATCAATAAAAACCCATGTTGAAGCTAGTCACTTGTCATTATGTTGCCCTCTTTGTTTTAGCCTTTTTATGATGACATCACATTTACCTACATCAGTCTCCATTGACCCATCATTGTAAAAGAGAGTGTTGAGATGTTTTGTTACATAACTTAAGATGTGTTAGAGATAAAAGCATGAACTTGCCAGCATTTTATGTGGAATTTGGTGTTTTCCATGCCTACTTAATTAAATTATATTTAGATTTTATTTTTTATTTTTCTTCCCTGTCCCTTAGCACCCCACGTGCACCTCAAAATATGCATGTATCCGGAAAAGAGGAAGAGGATGATAAATGAATGGGTGGATTTGCACAAGTTTTTCAGGAAACATGTGCAATACATGTGACAATACACCTATGCATCCATTTTCCCTGTACACCCACTAGTTTATGTGGTACACACAAAGTTTTGGAGATGTTTCAATTTTGTGAAAATGTAGCATGATTTTCAAATCCATTTTTGAACCAAATCACTTGCATGAAAAACCATACCATTTTCTCCTATGGTCAAGAGCAAAACAGTGTCAACTACCACACTGAAGTTTTTATTGAAGCTTCTCAAATTAGGAAGTTAATATGACTCAAAGTTTTTCCCATGCAACTGTCCCTTAACACCCCACTGTCCCTTAACACCCCATTTTACGGTACTTCAAAAGTTATTCGAGAAAACTCCTCAATATGCTGCCAATCAACATGCCTCCACAAAGTGCCGCCATTTGGACTTTTTGACCCCTGTGACGTCATCTTTCACCTGACCTAAAAATGACGTAAAAATTGTGGACCTTGTCTGTGCGTACCCACTACCCCATGCCGTTCACCGCTTGTCTCTATCTTGCTTCGTTCTCGAGATCTCAGGGGGGGTCAACTGCCCCCCCCCCCCCCACCGTCGGTTCTAAGCTGGCGCAGACCCTCGGTGCGCGGGTTAACAGAAATTTCTTAGTACCAATAAAACGCCTTTTGAGGCGACCAACGGAGCGCGCGAGAGGGTGGGCCTTGCATGTGCGAAATTGCAAGTGGGTACCTTGAACTAATTTATGGTTGCACCCTACCAACCGGTCTCCAGCGATGTGCCAAATTTGAGCGCAAGTTAAGTTATAGTTTAAAAAAACTGTTGATGACCTTTCATGACCTGAGATGACCTCAGGGGCATACAGAGGAGTCACGGGTACAATTTTCCTATTCAGTTTGATGAAAACGCCTTAGATGTGTTCGGCTCCAAGATACGGATCGACTGATATGCAGCGTCACCTTTTTCGGTCAGGTTATGACCTTGGCCTGAGGTCAAATTTTTCAAGTTGACCTTTCAAGGTCAAATGATAGTTAATTTGACGCGCCTCCATGAGAAAAAAAAAAACACGATGCTGGCAAAAGAAAGGTCGTAACTCTCCTGAGTAAAAAAGAAAAATATTATTGAAGAAAACATTTTCCGTAAAACGGCTATATTTTGAGTTGTTGCCCTCTGGAGGCTATACTGTTGGCCTGAGGTCAAATTTGAGAATACATTATAGAAAAACTGTTATAGGGTTATCGAATGTGATTTTTCGCGGCGCTGTAGGTCTTTTGGTTCCCGAGTTATGTGCCGGTGTTTCGAAGAATGTTGAAATAGGCAACAATTTATCTTTGATGGCCTCTGTTGACTTGACCCAAAGCATGACTGAAGTGATTTCGCCCTTATCCAGAATTGGAGGATCAAAAGCATGCGATAGCATGCTTTTGCATCCGGAAATTCCCATTGGTGGGTCGCTGAAAAAAAGTTCGGCTGAACCTGTTTGTCAGTGAGTGAGTGAGTATGTGAGTTTGTCCAAGCTTTTTTGGACCTGGAGTCAAAATGGGTGGACTGATCGGGACGAAAGTGGGACCGTTTGATTCGTCTCCGGCGAGGTAAACTTTTGGTGCTGGCCTCGGTTCGCTCGGTGCTTCGTGGCACATGCTATTCCGCTTCAAAGTTTCGGTGACACGAAATTTTTTGTCAAGGCTACAGGTCAACCCGAGGTCACGGGCAAAGCCATACTGGTTCAAACTGGAAACTGGTTCAAGGTGTTACCAGGGGGGTCACCGTCTGCGAAGGGTGCAGGCTGCACGTGCTGGGGTCGGAAAACTGTTTTGACGTGAGGTCCTCTGGCTCAAAGAAATTTTAAGCTGTCAACCTCAAAATCGGTTCAATGGTAGTCCCAGGCAAGGCCTCCAAAATAATGCACATTTGGTTGAACTAAACTCTGTGGTGCATGAGCTATGCACGTGCAAGCCGATTGCACCCCTTCGTACGTTGCCACGCCTGCAGGGTAAACGGCAGCTCTAACTGGTTCAAAACTTGCAGGTCATAAGAAGAATACATTTGATCACGACATTCTGGCGAGATAATATCCGAGGGGTGCAAGCTGCGCGTGCGGGGGGCGGATAACGGTTTTGACGAGGGATCCTCTGATCCCGGGAAACGTCGATCTAGCGACACAAAAGTCGGTACACTGATAGAACTAGACACACGCTATTAGAAACAGAAAGATGGCATGGCGCAGCCGCTATTGATGAAGTCATTGGGCTATGGATCCTCCAATTCTGGCCCAAGGCAACGCACGAGCGCTGCCGGCATCTAGTTTTAGACGTCCTTTCGAATGGCGCTTACCGCGTGTCGTTACGTGGCCCAGGAGCCGAGTTAGGGAGGGATGTTCCCCCCCCCCCCCCCCAGCAGGGCATGGAAATCCAGGACCTCCAGCGGGCGCGGGCTCATATATCAATTATCAATTAACATGTAACATTTCCTATCTTTTTTTTTGTAATGAAGAGGAATGACAAATGTGTCCGTCACTATGCATTTTTGACTGTCTCTTGACATCATTGACTGACTGTCTCCTTGTTATAGGTTTGGAACTTTTATTAGGTGCTTACTGCCTCAAGAGGATAACGCAGTAAACATGTGTGATGACGGAAGTAGGTATACCAAAAGAAGCCGAGTTTGTTAACATGGAAGAATCAGATGTGCATGTTAAACGCCAAGATGTGTCTGGTGAACTAGTGGATAGTGACATGGATGGTGACATGAGTAGGTTGTGCAAAGTTGGTCGAGTTGAGAAGGTGTTGACGGACTTTTGTGAAGGGGATGACAAAGGGCAGGTGAGAGAGTCCATCTGTTCCAAAAATGCACATGAGGTCAGCTCGAATCTGTCATCGGGAACCGAACTGAGGGCGTGCAATGAAGGCGTTGACATTCGCCTTCCACGGTGCGTTCGGAACGTAAGTGTTCCTGGAGGCATTAAAGTCACCAACAACATCGTTACAGTTTCAAAACGGTTCTTATACTTACTGTCAATGAGTACCGGCTGTCTACGAGGCCGTGATTTTTTGGCTGAGCTACGTGAACATTTGTCAGAAGACGGCCTCCGTGCGGAATTTGATAATGCTACGGCTAGATATCTGAACAGGGTGCTGAAAGCGATCCACGACAATTTGAGGACTCGCTCCGAAGGCGGGCGCCTTTATTGTGTGGCACGATACCAAAAATTCTTTGTTCAGTTCCGATGCTACTGGAGGGCTCCGGACGCAAATCACGGCGGCATCCGTGAAGTGGCCTCCGAACGGCTCACTGTGCCGATGCAAGGTACGACCTTTGGCAAGGATAGCCTGGAGGAGGACGATGAGCCCCCAGAGTTCATAGGCCCTGACGATGGCGATGAAGTCAACTGGCGAGCGTTGAGTGAAACCACTAGCCATCAATCGTTGTGCACCAGTGAGATGGATGAGAGTAGCGGTGAGCAATTGGAAAATCGCTCTGAGAGCTTTGGCGTGTCTACTGAAGGAATGCGTTGCATTATTCAGTCAGAAAGTTGTGCACCGTCTGTGAAACCTGTTACTGGTGAGCCATCAGACGTGGAGATAGTTAACGAGCTGGCGTGCATCAAAGAGGAGCCAGTCAGTGAGTCCACATGTAGGGAAAAATCTGATGAGATTACCTTGTGCACGGAGCAAGCGAACACAGCGAGGGAACATGCAGTTACCAACAATTCGCTAGGTACCATCGCACAACCATCTGATGTCGTCCTCCCGCGCTCTCTGAATGAAGACCTGAAAATTGCCGGTGGCATCCGTATCGATAACGATGTTGTCACCGTCTCCAAAGGATACCTTTTCTCACTGGCAGTGCGTGACTCTCTATGCACGCCGCGATGGTGCATCAATGTTCTTTGTAAGCACCTATCACAAATGCGGAATGGCCTACGCGCTGAACTGGACGCGTGCACGAAAAGTTTTCTGCGCAAGTTTTTCCAGCAAACCTTGCGGTGGCGACGACCGGCGCCTAGCTACTTTCCGAAGCACAGAAGAGCTGCCTTAGATCACAAATACTGCCAATTCTCTTGTGTGTGGAAGGATAGTTCGCTGGAGGAGAGCACTCCGGATACTGTCGAACGGCAGGGTGATGAACCCGGACGAGGCAAGCACAGTGCGCCACCCAGGCGCTCCCAAAGAGATCGCAAGACGCAAGAACCATGGCTGTCGCTGCCGAAGCCGACCGATTTCGAAACAATCGTCAAACCCAGAAAACGGCGACAAGTTCCCAAAGTCAAGCAAGTCAAGCCTGTCCGTCGAGGACCTGGACGTCCAAAGGTAGAAATGGAATGTAAGTATGCCTGCTGCGGATAGCTACATGTCTAGTGTCTACCCAGCATCCATGGTAGCTATATTCCTTGTATCAGGTATCGAACTACTCTTGACACTCAAATGATGCATAAAAAGTATGCTCCAGGCGGGCGAGTCAAAAGTGGAGAATTGTGCTCAACTGGGGATGCTCGAACTCTCCCAATTCCACTCCGGCTTGGCTTTGGAGCCGCAACAGACGTCGGAGGTCAAGGTCACCGATAGGACGGCGACGGATTTGCTGGGCCCTAGCTCCCCCAGTTCGGCACGATTCTGCACCTATGGGGCGAGTAATGGTCAAATTATCACAAGACACTGAACACTTCGCATCAATTTTAAGCGGCACCTACATTATACGAGTGTATGTTATGGCGTTATGTTATGCGTTATGTGTGTATGTTACATGGCGCTGACATTTTGTTCACAGCTCTTCCGAATGGGTTCGGCGGAACTCATCCCCGTTCATCGATGAAAGTCACAAAGGGCGGCTCAGTGGTGACTTATCTGCGCAGAGACCGCGGCGAAACCGTTCTCGGCGGTGGATCTCTTCGGCTGGACGTGGAGAGGAGGTTCGCGACTGAGGATCCTCTGGAAATCTCTCCCAGCGCTACGGACCCGGCCATCAATAGCGCTGCCACTGTTCCAGACGGTTCAGCCGCAGGTAACCCGGCGCAGGACAACTCAGTGGCGACTCATCAACGAAGAGACCACGGCGAAACCGTGCTCGGCAGTGAGTCTTTTCTGCAGCACGAAGAGAAAGAAGCGTTTTCGACCGGGGATCCTCTGGAAATCTCTTCCAGCGCTACGGACATGGCTATCGACAGCGCTGCCACTGTCCCAGAAGGTGTACCCGCAGGTAAGCTGGTGATATTGACTGTGCAGTAGCGTGCTCCGTGTTGTTTTTCGTATCGCATTTGCTTTTATGGGGGATTGAGATGCATGTTGACCTGCCATTGACTTGGATGACGGAGCGCATAACGTCTGGATCAGGCTATTTTAGACGAGACACTGTACACTGTACTGTACCGAAATTCAGTTAAATATCTCTAACTTCGAACCCCAAATCGAATGCGGAACTCCGGTGCGGAAATGCGGTAATTGCGGTACAAAAGGGCACTCGCAACCTCATCTCGCTTACCCGTGCTCGCTCGCATCTCGCTATGAAGGGCTTCTTACTGACATAATTACAGGCAAAAGCATCGACAGTGGGATTCGTGAAATCACTCCCACTATCATCTTTGTAAAATTGCTTGTCTTTCTCTGTTCTTATCAGTTATTAACATTCGTTTTTCTTTGTCAGATCTGCCTCTTAAAATCCTGGGGAAGTCTGGCCAGCTCCTAGACTGCCGAGCTCGTCGTTTGGTGAATGCTGAGGGCGGCTCCCTGCTTGCTGTTCTGATGCCGGTCGCAACATTTAGTGTCACAGCCGGCTCTGACGACACCCTCAGCCCGTCGGCAGGTTCGTGTCGCGGTGCATACTACATCGAATATGAATATGCAGCGAGAAAATAAATGTTTGTGCTGTTATCCTGCATGTTATGTTCGATATTCTGGTGCTTTTGAAAAAGGTGATTCCTAAATCTGATGCAAAGATATTCTGACATTGATCCACTGACCTCTTTACGCATTATTTTAGTTGTATTCTGTTCCGCTCTCGCCACGTAGTGTCCCAAAATTTGATAGTTTCATGGTGGGGGAGTGAGTAGTGAGTTAGTGACATGCCCTCCAAAAAATCCACCCTCACCTCCAACTTCCAAGAGCAATTATCGTTCCCTATTCTACCAATAACAGCATGCGTGCGTACATTTTGCTGGCTGATTTTACCATTATACTCCATTTACTGACAGTTATCTTAAAACAGCTCCTAGATGGTTTGACATTCACGCATAAATTGTATATCCCTGTTTTCCGCCCTTTTTGGGTGCCTCTCTGGCGGACAGTTGTCCACCCTCAGCCCTCTTTATCGGGAGGAATATACCACTCCGACGCCCAAACCAAAATCTACTTTTGGGACACTGTTGCCACATCGTTTTAGCTATGGTTTGCCTGCCATCTGATTCGTGCTATTTGTCTTCCCAGGCATCGCCACGTCAACCGAATCTGATCCTGCGAGCGAGCTCTCGATCGAAGAGCCATCGGCGACAGAGGAGCCGTTCTACTCACGAGTCAAGGCGGTGCCATGTGGCCCATCAGATCCTCGCATACCTACCATCAAACGTGGCCGACGAAGAAGAGCCAAGTGAAGGTAATATGACCGATATTCTCGCAGTATTCGTATCGGATAAATCATATCAACTTAATGCTGGTGTGGTTAGGTGGAACTTATTTGAACCTGTCAAGTTTTATCACGCGCTCGATATCACTCATTCTTCAATAACATATCAAACAGCGAGGTGAGAGTTTGATTAAACGGACATGATTGTTCCCATGGAAATTGCTACTGCCTTACATAGAAAAACTGCCTTTTAGTACAGACTACAGGGTGTCTCAAAAGCTCGTTGACACGTTTTCAATGCCAATAAAGCATATAAGAACCGGCCAAAAAATCTAAGTTTTTGGTGTCTGTGTGTACACTAGACAAATATGCATGCTTTGACAACTGATTCGGAAGGTTGAAAACCAAACCCTTTGCTGTATCTCCAAAAACATTTGCCCATACCGATTTTCGTCGCTCCGTCGCACTGTGGGGTTTTTATCGATCCTAGCACGAATTTATTTATATCGCATCCTCCGCTACCTTAACTAATTTTATTTCACCTTCAAATGGTTAGGCTTAGGGTGTATGATCCCTGACAACATGGTTGGCTCTCCTGTTTGACCCCATCCCTCCCCCGCCCCCTCCCCACGGACTTAGCACTGAAGCGTTTTCGGCTAGCAATGCATCGAGGGCGTGGAAGCGTTAAAAAAGTAGAACGAAACTACAATCGTTTTAGAAGTAGATATTTGTTCATGTCTAGCCCAATCACCAAAAGGCATTTCGGGCTTAACCTTTGCACTTTGTTAGTCGTTGCACTTAAAGGGGGAGGGGGTCGCACAGACTTCTGTCCTCGACTTTTCGCATACTAACTCAAGCAAAACGTGGCGGATCACGACGAAACTTTCTATACCTTCGATTCGATCAATGTTACTCACACACTTAAAATTTCATGACCTTGACCTTAATAAAAATTTGACCTGTGACCTGTTTCACCAGACCATGTCAGGCTGGTATCGATTTGGCGCTTATCAGCGCACATTATCGGCGCGTTTTCAGTCTTGTTGTGGTTGTTAACTCTCCAAGGTATGAAATGCTGTTTGTTCTTTGCATTTTAAGGTCACGTTAAGGTCAAATCAAGGTCATTTACCTTAGTTGACCTTAGTTGACTTTTTCAAGTTATACGATTTTTCTAGATAAGTGCTTGGAGCTTATTTCGAACTTAACCCTATTCCTGGCGGGCTCCGCCGGGACAAGAAACTGGCGGGGGGGCCGATTCGGCCCCCCCCTGAGATCTCGAGAACGAAGCAAGATAGCGACAAGCGGTAAACGGCATCGGATACGCACGGCCAAGATCTACAATTTTTACTAAGGTCATTTTCAGGTCAGGTCAAAGATGACGTCACAGGGGTCGAAAAAGTCAAAATGGCGGCGCTAGATATGGAGAGAGTTTTTCTCGAATAACTTTCGAATTAGTCAAGATAGGAACAAACTAAGGGCATCATCGTGATCCTCTCGTCAATCCGCATCGAATGATATATATGTTGACCTCGAAAGGTCAAGGTCAAAGGTTGACCTCAGGTCACGTGACCTCGAGGTCATCATGTATATCATTCGATGCGTCTTGACGAGCTGAACACAATGAGACCATCCACGCGTCTGTATCTTGTTCCTGTACGGAGTTATTGGCCAAAAACCTTTGGTGACCTTTGATGACGTCACATGACCTCACAGCTGCCCAACAGCAAAACAGACCTCAAGGTAGTGAAGGTTGATCGTATATGAAGTCATGTATGGTATATGGGGCCATTCCGACCCGTTTTAGTGGTAAAAACAGGGAGTTGATTTTTCCCCCATTGACTTATAATGGGGAGGTCGCGAAATTGACCTGACCTTAGGTCACCGATATCAAAATTCCGAGATATACAAATTGCACATACTGGTACCCTAACTAAACCCTGAAGAGAAGAAATTGATCGGTCAAAAACTCTAGCTCTGGCGTGATTGCAAACTTTTCTGAGGTATGGTCACCAAACCGCCTCTGGTGACCTGACCTGAGGTCAGATCAACTCAAAATTTTCAGACATGTTGCGTAGAAGCCTTTTAGGAAAAGTCAGAAAATTTGAGCTTCCTAGCTCAACGCGTTTGGGAGAAATAACCAAAAAACCTCAGGGGGGGGGCTCCTGAGGCCCCCCCCCCCCGCCAGGAATAGGGTTAACATCCATTTGAAGATTTAAGTAGTTTTGGTGCCTAACGGAACATGCTACGAAGCCGTCAAAGCAGGGGCGTCGACACCGGTCCGACTTTTCCGACTAGTCGGACCACTTTTTCGACTAGGCGGTGCCCTGCTGTGGCTCGCGGGGGCCCCTGCTGCAGACCGCGGGGGCCCTACTGCGGCTCGGGGGGCCCTGCTCATGTATGTATGTAAATGTACGTTGGGAAGCCGTTCGACACCTGGAGGCCCCCACCGGTGGGGGCCCCCCGAGAAAAAGTCGGACCAGTTTTCCTTATGCGTCGACGCCCCTGCGTCAAAGGTAATCGACGCCTACCTTCTATGGATAGCCGGCAAGACACCTACTGGTCGGGCCTGACCTGACCCGGCCTAGCATGAAAACATCATCCTTGATCAAAACTAGCTTGAAATTCGTAATTAGCACCCCAAAAACCTCCAACCTCACTTTACAAAGTTACAGCATTTTTCGATTTACCTATATCAAAGCTCTGTACTGAAGTTCAATAAGGTGAACATTGGCGGTGATAACCAATAAAATGGACGCAGCGTTGCAAGGGTGTTGTTGTTTTGTTCAAAAAGAACATTTGGCGATAGAAAAATAATGTCAACATGGTATCACCCCCTTCCTCCCTCCTCCCAACTCCTACAGGGTGTCCGGATAGTTCTGGCGCTTTTCAACATTTTCTAAAACAAATGCCATTGGTTCATAGATACTAATCAATGGATCAAAACAATGACCAGGGACACCAAGCCACATGCTTCCGCTACGTGCTCATTCAATGTAACCATCGCCGGCGCCGACGACGGCCTCGACGTAGGGGAGGAAGCGTCTGCGGGTTTTGACGATGCGGGGCATTTCCAGGTCCTCCCATGCTGTCATGATGCGAGTCTTTAGCGACTCCAGGTTGGGGTGAGAAATGGCCTAGATCCTGTTCTACAAAACGCGTAGCACGCCTTAGTCGAGCGGGTCAGGTTAGGAGAATAAGGCGGCCTGATCTCATTTCGCCACGGTGATCTGGCCCGGCAAGCTCCTCTGTCAGTTTAGCTTGAATGACAGCGGCGTTGTTGGAGGGTGCTCTGTGCTGTTGAAATGCGAAGTGACCCTTAGGGCATGTCGTCTTGACCCTCGGGTTGATGTGGCTGTCCAGGAACCCCTCGTGGGCCAGCCTGTTATTCATTTATTCGACATTGACGAAGATGATGGGACATTTTTGTCAATCAGACCCCCGCACTTTCTTCGATTGCCGCGCTGAAATGCTGCTCCGTTCCCATATCGCGTTCGAAACGGTCTGAGAATATTTTCTAAGGAATTCCCGAGTCGAAATAAACCTTTACCTGCTAAACCATTCATCGAAAAACGCCGCATCGCGCTGCAACTCGAGCCTCGTTCAAGTCGCACCCGGCCGCCGCGCGCAGGCATTCAGCGACAAGGCGCATCTTCGCCCATCTACCCATCACTGAAAACGATTTCAAGGTCATATTTACACGACCTCTGGCTGAGCAATCAACGAGGGGTCATGTCTGTGATGATTGGCTGAATGTCCAATAATCACAGCGCGCGTTACACGGCGTCCAAAAGAAGCGCCAGGACTTTCCGGACACCCTGTATACTGACCGGAAACCCCCAGGCGGTGTGCTGCGGTCGGGTAACCCGCCGCGGCGCGGCCCGGCGGGGCGTAAGGAACCACGCGGCACCGTCTGCTTTGACGTCTCATAGTGACTGGTTTAGGCAAATTTCGGCAAAAAATGAGAGCTGCCCCCGATGCAGAAATTATTGGAGAACATTTTGATATACATTTCCACGCGTAACACCGCGTATCAAACTTTGTAAGGCAATAGTTTGCTTGTCAACTCTCTGAATCAAGAAGCATTTTAACATTTTTAGCATTTCAGTCAAAAATTATACATTTGGATGAATTTTGGAAATTTTCGTGCATACCATCATCTTCCTTATAAGTCAAAGATAATGAAAACATGTCGCAACTATAACCTGCTGTTCAGGGAAACGAGTGAGAGGGCGTTTTATTGTAGTGTGCTTTTTCGCTGTATGCAGGTAGCACGACGCTGGTCAGGACGAAGCTACACTTTGAGAGGTTTTTTGAGGCATAAACAATCATTTTACAGACGATTTAAGGTGTGATTCGGATGCGCTGGACAATTCTACGTGGAATGAATAACAAAAAAGTGGAAATCGAAATATTTTAACTTGCCACTTAATGCGTGCTAGGATGGCATAAGTCCCCACGGTGCGTCGGCTGCCGGAGGCTGATAAAAGGTCACCAGCTTTCCAGCTCTTGTAGGGGAATCCCCTGCAGTTTCTGCGTCGGATTTAGGTTTGACGAACTCCCCGGCAACATCCGCTTCTCCCTGAAAGCCGACAGCTTGCATCGACACCATCCGTGAGTATTTTGTAGGTCTTCTCTGGCACTAACTCCTTCATGAATGACTGGCGCCGACATCCCAAGCACCATTTCCTTTTCAAAACAACCCCATTCCTGAACAAGTGGGAAGCGCCAGGGGCAAATTTTTCGCAGCATATCATAGCAGAATGTGACGGCCATCTGTTTCTTAGACACGTTGTCCAAATTTTGCAAATCCCAAACGTTCGTCATTCCCCATGCCAAGACCTTCGCTGGGTTGCGGAGTGTTCTCCTCAGGAGAGGTTCTGCTTTGTAAACTTCCAAAACCTGTCCATCGTGCGGTTTTATCGGGATTTTGTGTCTAAAAGAAAGCCATTTGTTCCAGATCTGCCTCTTGAAACTTCGTAAGATAAAACTTTACATTAATGGACACTTTTGGAGGTTCAGTTGTCCTTGGCATTGACGATTTTCGTGTAATTTCCCCCCCCCCCAAAAAAAAATTAGCGTTAGATATTATAAACATTTTAAATGATACTTTGTCTTTATTTTACGATGACCTGCAATTTTTGAAACTGGGTAACCTCTGTCTGTGAGCTTCTTGTCAGTTTTCAATAGTTATGAGTTATGACTGCATTTTAGCTGCTTTCTGGAGCACGAATCTGCTGCCGTACGAGAGCCGTTCAAAACGCTGTTAGTCTCGCATGGTTTCATCCTTCAAAAATTTTAAGCCACTGTTTTTATTAGATGATAATCATGTTGTAGGTACTCATCCTCACCAACACTTTGCCTGGTCATGTGTCATTTCCGACTTAACCATTCCCATTACTCCTGAAACAGAGTTTCTCAGCCGACCCGATTTTGCGACCTCCATTTTCATGCCTGACCCATGGTCAGAGGTGAACCCTTTTTGTGAGCTCATGAAGGGTCGAATGCGCTTGAAAACAATGAGACTGCTTGAGGAAGGTTGGTATCGATGCCCATGCAAAATTTCGGCCGTTAATTTCTTGTGGATTCAGAATTATTGACAAAAAAAGCATGGCTGGTACCTGTCAACGAACTTTTGAGACACCCTCTAGATACCTAACCTTGTCTGTTAGGTATAGGCAGTTTTTTTTAGGTTTTGCTGTCATACCAATGTTGAATATTTCAGATACTTTAACCCTCGCCGGCACAGGCCATTTGGTCATTGGTGTCCTTCGACGGCATAAGGGTACGACCCCCCCTCGCGTTTGGCCCCTGATCGACCTAGAGCTTCGCGGAAAAAAAACGAGCGTGTTGCCCGTGACGAGAAGAAGCCGATGATACCCAGTTTTAAGGTCCTAGGTCATCGGTTGACCTTCCAGGTCAGGTCGATGACCCAAAAGTCGGGAAAATCAGGACCTATTAGAACGTCGTAAAGTGTGGCTGCTACAGTTTTTTCGGGGTGCTGATCACGAATATCATGCTAGTTTTGATCACAAACGATGTCTTTATGCACTTAGGCCAGGTCGGGTCAGGTCAGGTCAGGTCAACCAGTAGAGTAGGAGGTCCTGCCGGGTATTCGTAGTACGTATCAACCGCCTCTGACAGCTTCATTACAATACTTAGGCACCAAAACTACTTCGTAAATGTTCAAACGGTTGTTAAATTCGATATCAGCTCCAAAAACTAGCGTAGAAACATGTAAAACTCGAAAAGTAGACCGGGGTCATCAAAGGTCAATGACCTGACCTGACCTTCAGCTTCAGGTGACCTTGACATCCACCCTAATGGATTGGAGCAACATCAAATCACATGTCAGAACCCTTAAACCACGAAAAGACTGCAAATGCGCGGCTATTGCGAGCCGACATACGCCGAATCGCGATTACGGCCAAACAAAAAGTGGTCTCGAAAAGTAGGTCACATGTCAAAGGTCATTTGGGTCAGGGTCATGAAATTTTCAGGGTAGGTGTAAAATTGATCAACGCGAGGGTACTGAAAGTTTCATCGTGGTCGGCCGCATTTTACGCGAGCTATTTGCGAAAAACTTTTGTGGGGTTGAATCACCCCCCTTGTGCCGGCGAGGGTTAATGGAAAATTGTTCATTGAAAATGCTTGTTACGACACCTTCTGTTCAAAATTGTGATTGAAGATCATTTCTAAATTTTTATTTATTTAAATTAGGGTATATAATTATCCTTAGCATTGTGATGAGTGCAATATAGATGCTTGTTCCTCAAGTCTTTGTCTTTAACAATATTGTGGGAATCATTTTTTACGAGTCGTTTGTTCTTTTTTACTGGCCATTACCAATTTTCTCTTGGGACAACCTGCAAAACAACCTGCACCTGGCTGTGTTACAGGAGATGCTTTCAAATCGCATGCGGCTACTGCGATCACTTCGTGAGTACGTTTCGACTCAAGCTGACATAATGTGTGATGTGTATCACTTCGAGGCAATTCGCAGCGCCCAGAACGTCATTTCGTACGTCAAGGAGTCCCTGATGAAATCCGGTTACTCCTTGCTGTGTGAGGGTGCGGTGCAACTGGCGCAATCATTACTTCAAGATTTTTAAGGCCGCCAGCGTGGGACCAAATGGATAGCCAGGCAGACTGCGAATGTGACAATGGCTCGGGCAGTGGCACAAAGAGGCACTGGAAGGAGAGGACACCGGGTGTTACGCCCGACTTCGGTTAACTGCTCAGTGCTCAGATCCCCCAAATGCCAATGCCTTATTTTAGTTAGCGGTATGATTGAAATGGATCGTAATGTGTGAACCTGTTGTGAACGTGCGGGTGTTGGAGTACCCGATGCTGCTATTGTGTTTTATGATGGGATGGGTAATTACGTTGTGAATGAGATATTAACGTGTTAAGAGCGAAGGAAGGATAGTGGATGGTGCAGTTCATTTATGAAGAATCATTTTGTTTCACTGGCAACGTTAGTGAATGACAGCCACTAAGTAAGGTTCCATGGTTTTGCGACAAGATGCACTTTCAGTGGTGTTTGACTTTTTTAGGAATAAGAACTGTTGATAACTGTTTGGCTTAAAATATACTTTATCTTTGTCATATTACTGTTACTTGTTTACCATGTTAACGATGGTCCCGATTTGTTCTCGCTTCTAAAATGATCATCATTGAAAACATCACAAAAGAAGCAGTGGAGCAGCTGAAGCGAGAGAAGCAGCAGTTCTGCAGTTCTCAACCTTCTACTAAAATCGTTCTAGAAATGTCCAGAATCGTTTTCCGGCCTCCTGGTAATTTTTGTCCATTCTGAAGTTGGACACATGGTTCAGAGATTCTTTTTTCATAAAATTGCTTATGATGCACACGGGCGAGGGTTCTGCCTTCCGTCACTCTTACGGTAATTGATCGTGGTAAAGCCGTGAGTGGTGTCTTGTTCACTGATTCGAAGAGCATTAAAAATGAACGCCAATCACCTTTTAATTCTGCAAGTTTCAAGGTCTCGCTGGGACATCGTTAGCGTGCATCTACATGTAGTTACATTATGTGCTGTGCCTCTCGTGGGGGCTAACTCATTGTTATTTTTTTTATTGATCGCCCTGTAGTTATAAATGAACCTCAATTGCGTTATGCTTGATGACTGCAATAGACTTCAACGAATGTGTGCCACTCTTCAGATGAAATTATGGTGCACATCCTAAATATCGCAATGGAGGTTGCAACGAAACACTAAGATGCATGTTTGGGGATATTCTTTATTTGACAGACCAGACCACTCTTGTGTGTTGGCGACATACGATATCGAGTATCTGATGCACCGGACAGCAACAACTTTAGGTAAGCGACTGCTTGGGTGATTCTCATGGGTCAACTACCATGTCACCAATTAACAACCTATTGCAATGCAAACCGCATAAATCATCCTCCAACTGACTAGAGAACATATACAACATGCATACTTGAGCATAGACATACTTATTACTACATCTACACGCCACTCTCGTTAGTGCCTGTATCTTTGGCACCCGCCAGCTGGTTTACCAGCCTTCCTTCGGTCTCCAGATAACCGTCATACACTGACTGGCCATCGAAGTCGTCCTGCGCCATCTGCACTAGTCCTGCCGCTGATCCTCCTGGGTGATCCTGCGACTTCTCGGGAGGTTCGGCACTCTCGGGTGGAGGAGCTTCGCCCGTTTTCTCCTCCGCCGCTTGTCTTTCAGCCCGTTTCTTCGCCTGGATCTCTTGTCTGGTCGTCTCGCGTTTAAACAGGTTCTCTAACATTTGCTGTTCGTCCCCGTCTAACTGCGACAGCACTAGAGGAATCTCCAGCAAGTGCAGGTTTCCCGAATTGTCACTGACTGACAGAACTTGTCGGCGTCCAAGTTTTTTGATGTTCAGGCTTGTCACCTCCACACCCGACAGGTTCTGTGACAGCAAAGGCTCCTGTGCTCGGTCCAGCATGTCCCAGACCTCGACCGAGCCATCCTGACGGCCGATGAAGAACATCGAAGGGCGTGAGAGCGACCACGCGCCGCTGGTCCGACGAGCGGGAGCTTCAGCTGACACCATTAGTGGCTCCCACTTGATACCCACTTTCCAGACGGCGAATCGAAAACCACCGACTGTGAGCACCATGTCATCGAAAAACGGCGAGATGCAAATGGACCTGATAGGAGCAGCGTGTACCTGCTGTTCATGCAGCTCGCACAGCACGGTCCTGTTCGTGTCCGAGTCTCGTCTCACTCGGAGATCGGTGAAGAGCACGTCTCCCGCCTGGGTCCCAGCATATATGCTGACTGGGCTTTTCGTCACGTCGTCTGCCATCTCTGGTGCTGTAGTCTTCGTCTTTTCTCCAGACTCTTCTACTTCCCCGCCACCCTTCGAATCTTTCTTCGCGTTTTTCAGGCGAAACTGGCATATACTGTATGGGATCCCAGCTGCACGACTGGGAAGGAAGATGCGGATGACAGGACGCCAGTTGTGGTTGAGAAGCTGCCATCGATCCTTATCATGGCTTTCTGCTTCTGGTGCCGCGCCCCTGCGTGGCTTTTGTGGTGTGATGTCCCACACTAAGAAGTGGTCATCGCCAGCGCAGGATATGATCTGGTGACACTCTTCTTCTTCAGGTTTGACAGAGTCTTCGGTCACCCTTCCCTGTCTGTCCACGACATAGGGAGGCAAAAGCCACTGCAGGTCTGTCACGCAAGATGAGTGCCCGAAGTCGATGTGCGTAGAGGCCACCGGCTGCACGACGGGAATTTTTCCCTCGTTGTCTTCCACTAACGAACTGAGAAATGACAGTTTCTTCATCTGGATTGAGCTTTCGGTCATCGCCAGTCTACCGTAGTACTGAGTGAGGTCCCATATCACGATGCGCCCGCTGATACAACCACCGGCCACAATGTTCGGATTGACTGGGTTGAATCGGAAGACAAAGCAGTCGTCAGGCGATTCCAGCAGCAGACGTGGGTGGATGGGGTCCTGATAGTTCCACATGAGAACGAGTGACGGCACCATCATTATCCGAGACATGTTCCTCAGTCTGACATCGTAGGACATCTGCTCCACGCAGCTTACTCCCACCAGCCCTGGGATCGTCGCATGCCAATCTTCGCATATGATCTGTTTGTCCTTGCTGTAATGCAGATCCTGAAATGACTGGTACTCTTTCAAGTATGTTTCCTGGCGTTCTGACATCATTGACTTGCCGGGATTCAGCTGTTCCCAGTCATTGCGGAAGACATTGATGATTTCGTTCTGTTGCAACGCCGCTTCCATCGCAGGAGTGACATCCTTCACGAAACGGCCCATGCGATCTGACTCCATCACGTCTCCCTTGTCCTCTTCGGTCAGTTCCCGCGGCACATATTGAGACCACTGGTTGAGGGGCCTACGGTAGTCAGTCTGTATCATTTTTACCTCCTCTTGAGGCACGGCTTGTGTTCCCTTGTCGAGCTCCTTCCGGCAGACAACGTTTCTCCGTTCATAGTTCGGCAAACACTCCTGATATGTGTCTTTACCAGCGTCAGTGTCACGGTTGCTGAAGATGCATTTCTCAGAGAAGTATCGGCGGGGCTTCATAATGGAGAGTTTGAGTTTTGGCCGAGATTCGATCACGTTTTCGTCCGTGACTTCGACGTCACTGCCAAGGTTTTGCCATGGCTTTGGCTCCGGGGGAATGTATGGGATGTCTGGGAGCGCGAACGGATCTTCCTCCTCTTCTTCGGCGTCAGGGGGGAACAAGATGCTTTCTTTCGCTTCCTCAGTGACACAAACATAGAAGTTCTCGCCAAAGACAAAGTCAGCGTCATAAACAACTAGAATCTCGTCTCCTGGATACCCCGATACAAGTTCATTGATGGGGTGAAAGTCTGAAATCGCTTTCCTGGTGCTTAGGTCTTCAAGGATTGCACTTTTGCTAAGCACAGCATTGGGCGACTCCTTTGAGACATTAACATCTGCCAAAATGTTGAAAATTTGTTGAGTTTGCGTGGTGAAAAATAAAGGGACGATACCAGGTGGCGGTTCAGGGACTTCCTTCTTCTCCTTCGGCTCTTCTTGCGGTATTTCTTGCACAGGTTCCTCAGCGGTTTTTGCCTTGCCTTTTTTGCCTTTCCCTTTCGTTTTTTTCTTGTTCGGGGAGTTACCGGGACTCTTCTTTTTCCCAGCCATGTTGAGAGCTGGTCCTGTAAAAATTATCAAACGTATCGATTAGCCTCGGCTACCGTGATTGTGCATTATTCATACGCGAGCAAGATCAAAGTTTTAGTAAAACAATTGAGGATCGAGCGAGCGCGGCCGGCAACGAACTGATCTGTGGTTGACACCTCCTAGCTCAGGGATTGGAGCCTCCCCAGTTCCCGGGCAGTTTTTTTGTGATTTCTCGATAAGCATCAGAGATGGATTACATTTTGCACATGACTTTTGCATGCCAGATCTTTTGGCGTCAGCTGAGTTATCAGATCAGGTCAGGTCACTGATGCAACTGCAGTGATACCTACGTCATGCCTGAACCTCTGCACGATCCAATAATATCGCAACTTCGCAACCTGGCTCTTATTACCGGGGAACCTTTCACAGGGAGATGAGGGAACATACTCTCGCTCGAGCATTCCAACTTGCATTTCCCGGATTTTTATGGGGTTCGCCTTACTCAGGTTGACCACGTAATATCATTATAGCTCAAATGTGGGGATCGAGAATACGGAGCCCGCTTCTTTGGCGCCGAAACAAAGGGGTGTGCATTTTGCGTTCCCCGGTTTATATAGCCTGGTGTTCCCCCTCCCCAATCCTAAAACCATAACGTAGCACCTGTCCTACGAAATTTTCCTTGGCCATGAGCATGGCAAAGCTGTAGTAATTTTGAACCGCGGTATAGGGAACTTGAACTAAAAGTAAAGTTGCCGCTAGTTTCCTGACTTTGACTCACCTTGCTTTTACTCTCCTCTAGAATCAACTTCAAGCTTCCTACACGCTTTGCCTTGGTTCGCGGTTTTTCTGTCTCGAAGTGAACGACTTCATCGTGGCTACTTTATCAATACCTACCTAAAGCGCCAGGCCATCCCTCGGCCATCCCCTGTTATTTACTGAATAGCCTTGACCAGCCTTGACAAACCTAAATGCAAACCTAAATGTAAATCATCAAATCAAATCATCAAGTAAATCAAAATCATCAAATGTAAACAATCACATTCTCGAGATATGCAGTTGTCATGGCAACGGTGTAGTTTTTCCTCATTATTTGCTTTTACTTGACTTTCTGAACTCTTAATCAAAAACAAATTATTTTACAAATTCATGCGACAGTCATTCAGTTTAGGGCCTGAATGAAATTGCAACGCTCTAGCTCGCTGTGAACAAATATTGGTTTTTAGAATATGATAATGGAGGATGAAGGCTTTTGTTCCGGCGCTACTGGATATGGAATCCTGGATATGGACTCCGCGATTTGGTAACAATTTCAGAAGACAAAAAGCTCGCAGAGCGGACGATTGTGAACTATGATGGTGTTTGTGTGTTAGAGCGCAGGGCCATAAGTGTTTTTATCTGTGTATGGTTTCATTGTATAGGTATAAGCCACGCGCATATAGGGCCTTGGCCACGCGCCAACAGGCAACAATTTCTTATTCCAACATTGGCTTTCTTGGAAATGTTGAGTCACAAAATTCAATAATTTCTGAAAAGGGGATGTCAGTGTTGGTAACCCAGTTCAGTTTTTTATGCATCAGGACAATTGTTTGTAGTTTTGTCATTTTACTGAATGGGATGATTTGGATTGGTAAATCAGGCGGGGAAACTGTGGTCAAATCTTCCATTTTTGGAAGCCTTCCATTTTTGGAAGGATTTTCCATACTTGGGTACGCATCTTCCAAAAATGGGTACGCTGACGACGACGTCATCGTACCCAAATATAGAAAATGTTGAGCATATGTTGCAACTTACTGATTTCCGCCGAACATGAGGCAAATGCGACTATTGCCCCTGGTCGCTTTCAATTCGCCATAGATAAGTGTACATAATCTAGCGTGGATATCTAAATCCTAGCGTGGATGTATTTTATGTAATTTTTCGTAATTTAACGATGGTTTTATAAGACTTTATGAAACATTTTGTAAGCATAAAGCATCAAAAAACGAGAAGTAAATGTCTTTAAAAGTACTTAAGTGATGGGCCATGCTTGTTTGATACCGCCAACTTTGTTTACAGTGCGGAATCCCGGGAGGGTAGTGGCGAGAAAAATATGTTTGTTGCTGTTTTCTGCATTAATTAGGATATTGCGTGGTTGATTTAAAATTTTTAAGGCTTTTGCCAAACATTTGGGTGGAGGTCTCGTCATTTTTTCAAGGTTTTCCCGGAATATGGGACGAATTAAGTAGGCGTTGGTGCGCCGTTTTTCGTGTTACTTTCTATGGAAGGAGCATGAATCTTCAATTTATATGAGGGATAGTAAGTTAAATTTAAACCATTTTTTGTCAGGACTATAGCTATGTTCCTCCTGGTTGGTTATTGACCAGCTGTTTTCTCTTCTGAATTTCCATGTATCCTCTAGAAGTAGAAAAAGAGAGCAGTGCACCAGAACACCATGCTATTAGCGCTGTTCGGCAGCCGGCTATTTTGTGTGCAGGGTATGACGTATTTCGCGAGCCGACGTCACAGGCGGTGACGTCGGCTCGCGCGCGAGCCGAGCGCCAACGACAAACTAACGGGAACCCTCGGACACCCTCGGGGCATAAACCGCGGAGCAGCATATTGAGCGAGTCTTATAAGGAAAATTCATATATTTTCGTTTCTCAAATGATAATCAGGGTGTCTCTTACCTTTTTACATATCATTTAGGCTTACCTAACACTTCAGTTGCCAGATATCTGCAATTTATTCAAGCGAAGGTATTTTCAGTAAATATCAATGGTATAGACCGAAATCTTTTGAATAAAAACTCCAACCAACAGAAATAAAAATAACTTAATTTATTCCAACCATTTCCTCCAAATAAACAACATAAAAACTCACTTTTACACACATCATTCATAATAAAGCATACTAACACGCCGCTTTTGACAATTGCGGCGTCGAGTGGCGCGCTGCTAGCGCTCTTTTTCGATCGCAGAGACCCTGCACGCGCGCGAGCACACTACGTCACGTCCGGGGGGCACAGGTATATGAAAAATCGCAGTGACGTAACACTTTTCTCGCTTCTCATTGGTCAATAGCCCGTTGCCGGGGTAACGTGCACGTATGTGAGCGCGGGCAAGAGTACTAGCCGGCCGCCGATCAGGGCTATTATTATATCACTATGTATGATGACATAGCATGCCTGTATTACCAACACTAGCACTGCTGCTTCTTCTTATATCAGTGATCATAAATGGCAAAATCATCTATTAATGTTACCTACACATTTAAAGAGGCCGTAACTTAAATCAAAGGATGAGAAACACCGTTGGGAACACTGAGATTAGGCCTTCCAATTTTGGAAGCCTTCCATTTTTTTTTTAAATGCATACCCATTTATGGAAGGTCCTACCAAGAATGAAATGCTTCCAAGAATGGAAGATTTGACCACAGTTTCCCCCACTGAAATGGTGCAATGCAATGTTGGCTCCAGTAGCGGCGGAACACCTTCAATTAAGGGGGGCACTGCCGACATTTGGTCCCATTCTTTCCATGCAATGCCCACATAAGGCTAATGTTAAAATGCTGAAATCAAAGGGGGGCACCCGGCACGGTGCCCCGGTGCTCTCCCCGTTCCGCCGCCTATGGTTGGCTCAACATATTGCCTCAAATATTGACAATGAAAGTGCTTAACTTAAATATGCATGTTAAAAGATGCAAGATATTTATGCACATCTTATTTGTAACTGGTTAATATATTTTCAATCATTTTTACAGGCTTAAACATCTCAAGCAACTCAAAAGTGTGTGGAAGTAAAGTCCGTTTTTCCCTGGACCATCAAAAGCAAAATGGATGCCGACAAGATAGCAAAATATGAAGAGTTTCTCAATGATGTCCTCAAGCAAGACCTAAAGTAAGTGGTGATGTAGTAACGTTTAAAGGGGGAAAAGGGGAATTTCCCCCTTCAAAAATTCCGCTCTCCCTTTCAAATTGTGCGTGAACGGCTAGGGAGGGAAGGGGGAATTTCCCCCTTTCAAATTTATTTTTGAGCCCATTTTCAATCAATTCGCTACTCAGATTCTATAATCATCGTTGATCAGACTCTAGTCATCAATCAACGTTGCTGGCGCTTAGATAATTTTCAATTTGAGGTTCCATCCAGCCATTTTACGTTCAGTGCAGCGGGAACTCCAGATTTGACCCGATACCGATCGGATGGTCGGTGGGACCGTCTTTTTCTTGTCTCTTCCGTCTCTTCGCAATCACTGACATATCGCTACAGGCGTCGGCGTAGAAACCGGTGGGGGACGGGGGTCATGACCTCTCCGAACCAAGGGTCTTCCTTCGAACCAGAGTCCTTCAATCGGTCTTGGCCTAGCAAAAATAGTCACGTGTTACCTCTCTCTATTTAGAAAGGCGCTACTTGATGTTTGGCCATGGTAATAGGTTGATACTACTGATTGACATTTGCTAGGGCGCAGTCAAGTTGGGACCTCCCCCGCCCCTTGCCGCCAGGGTAGGTACCTACATGCGTATATTTTTTAGCTAATTCATTTTTTGGCAACCTAACAATATAAAGTGGCCAGAATCCGGGGAGTGAGTAGGATTTGGGGGTAGGTAAGGTTCTGTAGGCGCCATCCTAACCAAAACCTAATGGCATTAGGGCCCTGTTTCACCGGTGATAGCAGCATGCGACTATCAAATTGCGCGAGCTGACGTAATGTGATGAGGTCACACTAATGACGTTTCGTGTAATCCGTGAGCTGCGTTTGGAACAGAGTTGCCGTCTCGTTGCATTGCGTTTGATACATTTGTTTGATCGCACGGCCGTGAAGATGTTAGCAGCAATATTTGATGACATCACACAGATTGACGGCGTCATAGTTTGTTGATGTTTCCATGGAAACCCAATTCGACACGTGTGATAGCAGCGTGCTGCTATCACCGGTGAAACAGGGCCAGGGCCCCCCTTTCAGATGCCCCTGGACCCGCCCTTGCCCTGAACTTGATTCCCCTCTCGACTTTTCCTGTAAAAGTAACCCTGGATGTATTAATCATTATAGCTTAATTCTGCCCAGTGCCCTTACCATTAACCCATACCGGACCAGTGGGTGCTCATGAACACCCTGCATTTTTTTGCAGCTCAGTAGGCAGAACTATGGTCATGAGTGCCCAAATATAGGAACGTTCCCATTTTTTGGGGAATGGAGTTCCCAAATATGGGAATGGGCATTCCCAATTATGGGAACAAAAGGCAATTAAAATACAAGTCCTATTACATTAACCGTGCAATTTTAAGGAAAATGAAGCATTTTTACATTTTGACGTCAAGTATAATAATTTTTGCCTGGTCATGAAGTTTCATATTAGGGACACCAGCGCTCTATTGCATCTATTATGTCTGGCAGGACTTTGCTCGATCATCGTGATGCAGTTTATGAAGATATTGCCCATCATCTCGAACTGAGAAACACTATCAACACTCTGCAGAAGGCCCAGGCTGACAAAAAGCCGCTGAAGACAAAGGTGGACCTCGGCTGCAACTTTTACTGCTCTGCTAAAGTGTAAGTGCCATAACGAAACTGAAATTAAGGAATTTTGTGATACCATGTTATGCTCTTATAAATTAGCAGCATAAACTGATGAAAATGGCTTGAGTTCGTTTTTAGTTTGGCCCTCATTATAACACCTTTTTGGGACATAGCTGAGAGACTTGCTTATAGAATGACTGAGAAAGCTGGTTAGCTCACATGGTATTGAAGAGGTGAGTGGTATTGTGAAGGTGTCTTTTCAACGCCGACAAGATACCACATTGTTAAACGCCTTGCGATCGATAAATGAGCTCAATTATTATCCCCGACCAGTCATATGTTGATATGGGACTGTGCTTTTTGGCAAATACTAAATTTATTGGGCAACTAGACTCATATAAAAAATAATTTTGGAATGTTTTAGCCATTAAATCCTAGTATTGTGCGCTAACCAGTTTTCTAAGTAATTTACCCGGCCATTCGCGTGCTCTGCTCATTAGCATAACAGTGAGGGTCGTGCATAAAAAACGGACTAAAGTCACTCCCGATTTCCCATTAGTTGTGTTCTTGCGAAATCTCCGCCGTTTTCTTGCCTCCAGCCTGTCTGAAAGCCTCCCTGCTGTCTCACACTGCCCATTTGTCTCTTCCAGGGATGACCCGTCGCGAATTTTCGTCCGCATCGGGTTCGGCTTTTACCTGGAGATGACGCTGTCGGAGGCACTGGAGCACGTGGCGCGCCGAGTCTCCACACTCGAGGAGCGCGCCAAAAGTCTCGGCCGGGACGCGGTGGCTGTGCGCGCCAAAATTGACATGGTGCTGGAGGCGCTACGAGAGCTGCAGGGCATTCAGCGAGCGCCCGAGGCGGCCCGGTGACGGCGGAACAACCGGTCAGAGGAGGGGGAGAGGGAACTGCTAGCTGGATTTGATGTCACGGGGGGGGGGGCATGAATATTTTAGTGTTGAATACATGCGATATCATTTTGTTATTACTTGTTATTACTTTGTTATTACTTTTTGTTATTACTTTTTACTATTAAAACATACCGAAGTGCTCCGACACGCGGGATTATGCATGCCCTGAGTGAGTATCATTAAGTATCGGAAGGTGAAATTATTAGAGATGATGAACCGGGATCAGACGGTACCGGACACCGTTCGGAATCAGCTCTGCTGGGTTTGTTCTTTACTGGCCCGGCAGCTTTGTCAGCTGGCTAACTGATACAGACCGCTGCACTGAGAGGCTGAGTTACAGTCTTTATCGCTGCGCCGGCCGCCGGTGCTGCCACCTGTCGGTTGGATGGGAGTGGGCTGGGTGGAGGTGCGGCGGGCATGGCCAGTCGCCGGTTGCCGTGCTTCGGAGGAGCTCATGGCGGGAGCGGTGGAACGACGCTGACGGTAAATAGTGGACGCCCGCCGGGTTCATAATTCGCGTCCCTGTGCCACAGATGTTAGAAAGGGATATCAAAACGAGTCATTCAGCGCAATGCGTTTGTAATTTATAAAGTGGCTTGAGAAGTCAGCATGTGCATTGCTACGTTTGTTAGACCCGTGTTTGGTTTTGTGCAATGGTTGCTTTGTGCTAGAGACCGAAGCACGATCCTAGTGAAGGGACAGTGGGGCAGCGCCACCAGCGTAGCTAGAGCGCTGGAAATAGATACTCCAGTCCATGCCTTCCAGCTCAAATGAGATGACACTTTGCTAGAATTTCGAATCCGGATTTCAAAGGAAGTTATTGCAGCCTATGCCTTGTCGAATGATGTGCTTTCGATCACAATTATTCCTATTGTTGTGTAGAGATGTGCGCTTGAATGGAAAATGGCGGCTGGCTTTTACATGATATGTAATAACTTACGAGTCCATTAGCTTACGAATAATGTGTTCAATATTAATTTGATTATAACCATTTTACTATCACCACTGAAATGATGAAAATTTGGTGGTTTGCGAGCAATTTAGGCCGATTCATACTTGACAGGCAAACTCTAACACTAAAACACGTTAAAGAAAACCAAACAACCATTTATTCTAGCTTAGTCATCGATCAACACAGACTTGCCATTCCTTCCCGTCCCTAGCACTCCCGACCCCACCCCTCCTCTTCTCTCCTGTACTCTACCCGCGACCCGCTCTGCTGGACGCCGGCAGCCCCCGCGGCCAGCGACGCAACTAGATAAGCTCTGCTAGCGCCGAAAATGCCACTTCGCCGACTGCAGTTTGGGCTTGGCGTACCAAGTTTAACCGCAATCGGTCTAGTTGTTCTCAAGATCTCGAAGCGACCCATGCACGTATTTACGCACGTGCGCTAGCCGTGTCACATGGAAATGCGTTGCTCGGTGGGTGCCTAGTGCCTACCCTCACGTCAGGTTTCAGCGCAATTGGACCATTAATTGCCGAGTTATTGAAACGGTAACAAATTTGCTCCCTCTTAATTTGGCACGTGGCACGTGCAGTGGGGGTCACCCATATGCATTGAGAGTTCTCCTCGATGCTTGATAGAAAGGGTGCAACTACTTGGCAATCGCTCTACAAAAAAGTCGATCGGCCTTGCGGTCGCCCAGATATGTGCCTCTCAAAAGTGCTACTTCAGCAGAACAACTTGTATACCCATGACTTTTCACGTGGCACGTGCCGCGAGTCACGACGATTACGTAGAGGCATCAAGAGTAGCCAATTACGGAGTAGAACCGCAGGTAAATCGTCCCAGGGGCTGCTGAGATAAAGGCCTCTCAAAGGCTTTACAGGCCAGGCCGGGTCGCTCATACTGAGATTTTCGCGTACCTATATTGGAACGACTCGCTTCGCGCACGCTGGTAATAACTATGGCCTTTATAGTACGAGAAAGCCTCACTTGAAAACGTTTTCTATCACGTCATTGCATCATCCTTTCCCTGCAGTATCGCTCAATCCAAACCATTGCCTTCATTTCATACAGTCACGAAGTCTCACTTTGTGACGTTTTCTATCACGTTAATGTCTGGTTCTTTCCGTGCAATATCATTAAATCCAACCTCCTCTAACACCGATCACTGCTTTCGCACGCCCCTGGAACCTGCCGCTAATGTTGACGACGTCCTCTGGATAAGTCGACCGTGCTGGATGACGATAACGAAAGCGATTCTCAGGAATTCGAAATGCTTGTGGGACTGTTTGTTAGACTCTCTTAGAACGTCCCAGGGATAATCTATACGGGGTGTCACGAATTTGACGCATCTGCCCGGCCAGTGGCGCTCCTCCCAGGTGGCGGTTGCATGCCACCATCCCCGGCGATGGTTACTGCAGCCTGCCACCGCTGCTGGTGGCGGGCGCGGGCGTGGCTGGCGCGCCAGCCGCCGGAGCTGCTCGTGCTGCGCCTGCTGCTGCTGGTGCTGACCGTCAGCTGCATCCCGACCCGGTTCCCGAGCCTCTACTACGAGTACATTCCTGCTGAGCGTCTGACGGCGGAGCTGCTGCCGCCGCCCCGGCCGGCGGACGGCCAGCCGCCGCTCTGCGCGCCGCCCTCGCCGCTGCCGGCAGAGTTCCCGGTGGATCAGAGCCCGGCCACGGACAGTGAGGTAGCGGCATTGGCAGTCGGAGCGCCCGTCAACTGCACGCCGCACCACCGCGTAGCCGTGGTAGTGCCGTACAGGGCGCGCGCCGACCAGCTGCGCATCTTTCTGCGACACATGCACCCGTTCCTGCGCGCTCAGCGGCTCGACTACTCCATCTACGTGGTGGAGCAGACGTTCCGTTTTCCGTTTAACCGCGGCAAATTGCTCAACATCGGCGTGGCCGAGGCGGTGGCCGCGTCCGGCGTCGACTGTGTGGTGCTTCACGATGTGGATCTGCTCCCGGAGAACCTGGGCAACGTGTACGCGTGCGGCGCGCGGCCGCGCCACCTGTCCGTGCTGGTCAGCAGCCTGCGCTACCAGCTCCCCTACTCGATGCTGGCCGGCGGCGTGCTGGCCATCACCGTCGAGGCGTTCCGGAAGGCGAACGGCTTCTCGAACCTCTACTTTGGCTGGGGCGCCGAGGACGACGACCTCGCTGAGCGGCTGGTGGTGGCCGAGCTGCGTCTGACGCGGCCCGACCCGCGCGTCAGCCGCTACACCATGCTGGAGCACCGGCACGAGACGCCCAGCGAGGACCGCATACACCTGCTGCGCGAGGCACGGCAGCGCGCAGCGCTGGACGGCCTCAACAGTCTGCGGTACACGGTGCTGGCCCGGGAGGACAGGCGCACGCACCACTGGATTCGCGTCGAAGTTTGATCGCACGTCTTTCGGGAGGGGGACGGACAGGTGCACCACGCGGGGTGTTCTCACTCAGTAAAATGACTTCGATATGAATGAGTTTTATATTAGGCGTGCTGCTACGTTGTCACGAATAACACGTGATATGCCCTGTCTAGGTGAAGGGATTTGAAGCTTGGCGAGGCTTCAGGATAACCAGCTTACGGATTGTGAAGAGCTTAGCTCCTGTGCACTGTCATTTGTTATGTTGAATTGAGTCAATGTAGGTAGGTACCTTATACCTGCGAGTAGGGTGGCCCAGCAACGTGTTTTTCACCTGCAGGAGAGTTATATGCTATTGTGATACATGGCGTGGAGCTTGTGCCTTAACCTTTAGATGATATCACGCAACAGTGAGCTTTCGGTGAACTGCCTCACCTATGAGGGATGTTTGAGAGGCCCTTATGAGTGACCTCGAACCCCTTGAGTCGTACAAAGAACCGTACAAACTGTGCTCCTCTGCAGCTCAGTCAGAGACAGTATGGATAGGCATTTGTGATCCGACACGTGTGTGAATTGTTAGTCATTTTAAGGAGTTTGTCACCACTCACCAGCCTTTTATTGTATACCTTCAGCCGAGAGTGACCGTTTACTGAGGGTTGCATCTTAGGTTCTGGGTAGTCTCGGCTGAGGCCTGAGCGCCAGGCTTCACTGACTAACTCTCAAATCACCCGCAAGTGCAAACATGAGTGCATCTTGAATATAGGATCGCCAAGCGACTCCGAAATAAACGGAGCCCAGCGGCTGTTATCAACCAAGGTAATATTCGTTTTTAACTGCCGAATAATTGCACCGGATACTGTTCATTGACATGATCGGCCACACGACACACACGATGACATCATCTGAGGCGTGCCTACAGATTGGTATTCGTTATGAAAAAAAATCACCGACTGTGGAGGCGGGTGAGATGTTCACATAAATTTGGTTGACTTATTAGTTGTCACGGTCCCATTTATTTCACAGTTTCGGCAAAATTACATCATTTGGTCAAAATCGATAGGTTCCAGAATGATGTCATGGAGTTGCAACACAATTTGAAAGTACAGACACAGAAACATTTCGCGCTTCATCAAATTTATCTCGACGCCGGTGGTTATTACAGGTGTGACCGTCGCTATTCCACCTGCCAAGTAATTCGCACCAAGGGCCGCTGCCCGACGGCGTTCCGAAACAACTCTGTCCGGGCGGTATTTCAGTATTGAAAGACAACATACACGGTACGGCATTGCACATGTACGCCCTGTCGACTCGAAGTGCCTCCACCTGTCCATGACAACCAGCAGTGTACGCGGACTGCACCCATTCGACATCGACCGTCCAGCGTTACCCCGTGCGCATTGATCATGGACAGAGGGGCCCCAACTTTGCACGGAGTGAGGTAGGCCGTCCGTGCACCTTGCAGATGTGTCGCTAAAATCGGCGGGGAAACGAAGGCTGAGTATAGGACGAGATCGTCGTTGTGGTAATAGTTTGGTACAGTTGAAGAGACTAATCTTGTTCATGGTGCTCTCCCAAAAGGCGAGCCATTCGACCGTGACTGAAGAACTGTTTGAGGTCATGGTGCACGGCCTATCGCCACGTCGGGTAACAGGTTAATAAATGTTCTATGAAGTACTGACAGCACTACAAAAGCCGGCGATCTATGGGATTATCCCCAGGATACATGGCACAGTCATATCAGCAGGCCTGTGAAGAGGCGGTCGCCATAGCGCAGTACATCAATAACATCTTTTCCCCGCAAAGTTTGTAAATATTTAATCGCTCGTACCGAGCTTGGCAAATACCATGCTTGACGTCACCTTCATCTACTTCAAAAAAGCATTGCAAGATCGCTTTATACGACGTCATTTAACAAAATAGGTTAGTCATTCGAAAGTTTCCCGTCTGTGCTCTTTAGCGCAACAAAGACGATCGTTTTCTCACGTGGCTTTCAATGCAACGGCCAGCCCGTAAACTATGGCACCCGCTCGTGTTCTTAGTATCGCACCCGCTTCTGTGTAGTCCGTCGTCCCACGGTCCGCGGCGCACCGACCCGTCCGCGCCCCTCCACCGGTCTCCAATCGCCCTGTGTGCCGCGTCGGCGCGACGTCACACAGCGCTATCGTACGCCGGGTTATCGGCCCGACGCGCCGCCGGCACTCCCATATCGGGGACGGCGGCGCTGAACAGCGCGTAGTGCAGTCGGCGGCCGGTGGCCCGCGTGTCGAACTGACCGGCGCGGAAAGGGCGGCAGGACGGCGGCAGAAACGCTCTCTACCGCTGCTGTCAGGCAGAAACCAAAGGGATGTGCATGAGGGCTCACGGCGGCACCTACAATTCGCACACACCACAGCCCGAGCTATTCTTCGACTGGTCACTCGAAGAAAATATACGCGCAAGCATGGCTATTTGTAAACCAATACCATGCCGCTACAAAACGGTAACTGGTGAAATTTATAGGAGACTATCGCTGCGTTCCATGAGCCTCCTTAAAGCTCCTTTAATATCTAGGTAGCAGAACTAAATAAAACAGAAAAGCACCAAGTGCGCTTTGGTCATAAACATAAGGCCACGCAATTTAATAAATAAGAAGGGTGTCCAACACCATCCTTCAGCAGCGGCCCCGGTGCAGAGGAGTGAGGCCCACTACCTGAAGCCAATACCGCCCGTCCCATTCAGACAGCGGTGCCCTCTGGTCGCTCTGCGCCGGCCCTCCGTACGTGGATCGACGGCCCCCGTGGCACGGCGCTGCGCGGTCCCACAGCGGCGCACCACCCCACGACTCGGCGGCGGCGCGCGGCCTCACGACTCGACGGCTCCGTAGGTGCCCGGCGGCGCGCGATACTCGGAAGGCATGGTCAGCAACTGTAGCGTGTTGAAGGAGAAGCGCGGAGAGCCCACGTTCTTCTCGGCGTTTCGGCGGCGCGCGCCGTCCGTGCGCATCAGAGCGAGGGCGCGCGGCCGCTCGGCGGAGGCCAGCTGCAGCTCGCGACTGAGGATGTTCACCTGTTCCAGCGTCACAGACATGGAGGTACGGTCCTTGGCCGACTTGCAGCTGCAGAACCGGATGCCTGCCGCGCCGGGGGCAGACGAGGCGGGTCAGTCGGGGGCGGGCGAGGAGGATTCAATGGAGTTCTTGGATACAATGATTCGATAATGATCACGAAAACGTTATACTTGCAGATTTATCATCTGCGAATATGAATAGAGCACAATTATATGTCCGGGATTGTAATTGGTGACTCACGGAGGTGCTGACGTCACAGCCCTCGACGTTGATATAGGCAGCGGGCTGTAGCTGCCGCACTGCATAGCCCAGAGGACCGCCGCCGGGCGCGCAACCTCACCTGACACGGCGCGGCAGATCTGCGAGGCCAGCTGCAGAATCTTCACCTCCTTGGGCCGCCCCGAGCGGATAGTTTGTCCCAGCTGAATGATCAGGTCACCGACATCCGGACAAGACTCGTCCCCTGAGACAGACGGCGCACAGTTGAGCGCTATCATGGACATACCTACAACCAGGAATGTCAAACAACTGATAGGGCGCGCCTGACGTCAAACAAAGCCGCACGATACGATACGATACAATACAACCGTCGTCAGCCCAGTCTCTACACACACATCGCTGATGGCCAGCGATAACGCATAAGTCAGCGATAGCAATGCATGAGTTCTCCGCGCATAGCAATGCAAGTCGTGCCGCTTACCACATCATAACCTCCCCCTCCCTTGGACACTACCGGTTCCAGAACACTACTCACCACTGCTGGGAGGCTTGGGCAACACTCCCTGTTCGCTGCAGAGATTCACGTAGTCGGCCAGCTGACGGAATGAGTCCTCGTTGAAGGCCCGTTGCGGCCCCGTACCACCCACGTACTCGGAAAAGGTTGCTTGCTCGTTGATACCCACGTTGAAGAACACAGGACGCGGGTGGAACCTGCCGGTAGGATAGCGAGCTGTGATGAGGTGACACAGGTTCCAGAGCACGAGGAAGGTATTGGTCAACATGTTGTCACCTCGCTGTGGTTTCTCAGAATATGGTGGCTTGGGTGGATCGAAATTCAAACCCAGCATGACACTCAATGATCTATTACTTCATGTTTCATGACAAGAACTCAAACCGTTGACCCCTAAGATACTCCCTCTCACCTGATTTGTTTCCCCGCCCGTTTGCCAGCGAGCAGCGCCTTTGGCGTGGGCAGGTAGACCTGAAGGCGACCCCTGCCTCCCTCCAGTCGCACCTCCGGAACGCCGGGGCCCTGGAGGTACAGGGTGGAGGGTGGCTCAACAATGGGACCACTGCGGGCGCCGGTATAGGTGGAACAGGGGGAGCGAAATATAATAATTTAAAGGCAGTGCTGGCCCTATCACTCAGGCAGATCACCATGCCGACCTGTTCACGAGAAATGGCGATATGTCCACTAAATAATTCACCACATACGGGCTGAAGCTGCAGATAATGTCGCCATTAGTGGAAGGGAGTGCGCGATCCCATAAGAGGTATAACGAACACCAGACGCTGTAGGCTCGGCTGAATATTTTCCCTCTTCCTGCAGCCGCTGTGCAAACAGGTCATTCCACCAGCTCAATCAATAACCCCATCAGGCGATGGAACATTTACTTTAGTTCAGCACTATTGTCATGGTCTGCCAAAGAACGAACTATGGCCATATTCAGCGCACATTCAGAGCAGCCACCGACGCCACGCCGATACTCGGTAAGGCCTAAGCAAACGTCCCGATAATTGCTACACACACCGTGAGGCGAGGCTCACCTTGGGTGCTGCGGCCGGCTCCAGAATGAACTCGACGCCCTCCAGATCCTGGACAGCCACCACCATATCCTGTACCATGCCGGCTTCGTGTCTGCGGCACCAACAGACAGCGGTTATACTCGACACGGGGAGACGGATCGGCAGGGCCGCCAGGAGGACGGGGCAACGGGCGGGGTTCCAGAACAGACGACAGCGGGCAGTGATAGTGGCTGAGCGTTATAAGTTGAACTAGGAACAACCAGGCACACAAAAGTCAAAACCGACTAAGAGACAATAAATTACATGAATTCTGGATTCGGAATTTACTGTTCTGTGACTCTGTCATCACCGCTTCACCCAGAATATTGGCCGGCCCATTTCCAATGACTTTGGTTGATACTAGGTGGATCCAAAAATGTACTCATCGATTGGTTCCTTTGACCATATTTTGGGGCTTGCAGTCTACACTAGAGCCGGCACCGCCCGTGAATACAGCACCGTTCCTCATGACACCAATCACAGCTGACGTGATAACGTGATAAAGATACCACTCGGCGCTCATAATGTCACTCTAGCTCACCATACCACTCTGAGCTCACTGTCCAACACAGAGCTCACGATACCAATCAGAGCTGACGATACCACCCTGAGCTCACGTAACCACTCTGAACTCACCCATAGTAGGAGAGCAGCCCCTCGAACTGGAGGAGCGGCCCGACGGAGGCCAGCTGTTCCATGAAGGCGGGGTCGGCTGGCCGGCACCACAGTCTCGTCAGCAGGCCCACACTGGCTGCCGTCACCTACCAGTGACAGAGGGAGGGGAGTTAACAGACCGACAGGTGATAAAGACGGCAGAGAACAGAAGGGCCTGAGCATTAACGATCATCGGTCACCAGTAACGAACACGAACATCAACGATCATCAGTAGCGAACATGGGGTCAGTTCTCGCAAAATTTAGAAGCGTCGCAAAGTCAGAGCTGCAGACAACTTGTTCATTCTTATGTCACCACTTGATGGCCCTGACAATCTAAATCAGAACTCAAATTTCAAAATATGGCGGATGAGCATATACAGTTACGTAATAGCTTCAGAAAATGAGCACAAAGTCATTCGCACTTTACTTCTCACGTTCACAAAATATATGCATTTACGAAGTGCACTGAGCCTCTCTAGCTCTCCAAGCAGTCTCTGGCGAGTCCCTCTCCGGTGCCCTCTCCCGCCGTACCGCGTGGCTGAAGCAGATGTCCCGTCGGTGCCGCGCGGCATCCCTGAGCAACTGGGTGCGTCTCTGCTCCCTCAGCCGGGTCGTGGCGCGCGCCAGCCGTGCCGCCGCCAGCGCCGCGTCGCAGCCGGCGCGCAGCTGCGGCACGGCCGCCGCCAGCGCGGCGCCCTCTGCCGCGCAGAGGCCGGCGGCGGCGGCGCTGACTGCGGCGGCGGCCGAGCGCCAGTCGGCCGGGGCGGCGGCGGCGGCCGGCAGGGAGACCAGCCGGCCGGCGAGCGGCGGCACCGGCAGGCAGCCCAGGTGCGGCGCCGCGCCCGTCGCGCTGCTCGAGGCCAGCTGCTGGTGGGTGTCGGCCACCACCGGACTGTGCAGCGCCACGTCCACACGCGAGCTCTGCAAATACACAGGGGCGGTGAGCGGCGGGCCTGTGTGTAGTTGGGGAGCTCCTCGGCTGGGACGGGATGAGGAGACAGATGAGAATATCCACGGCTGCGTACATTTATGATCACAGTGGTGTGGCACATCTTAACTTCACATTGCGTGGCGTCAATTTTACTGTAGCGCTTGCATTCAGATCAGTTAAAACCGCAGTACAACCGAGCGAAATAATCATTCTTAAACACCATCACGTACCTCTGCCGTTATGATTTTCACTAGAGCGGGAATGGCGGCCGAATCGTCCGCCTTCTCCGCCTCCAGAAGGCCCACACACGCCTCCAATATCCGCGACCTCGCCTCCTCTATGGCTGAAAACAGACCAGTGAGGCACGTCTTATTTACCAGTCAGTTTCTGGGGACGCTGCTTAGTCCAAAGTCACAATGAGATGCAAAACAACGATGGCGACTCAAGACAATTTAATATCTTCTCAACACCTTCCACTCAGCTCAAGGACAGGGGACATGGCCTCCTCCCCCCCCCCTCCACAATTCAGTCGCTCTCTCCACCTAGTTAGTATATACATGACTCATGACACCTCAGTCCAGACACGTTCTGAGCCGTCATTCCTCGTTCGTACAGTCGTGTACAGGTTGATGGTCCTCTACTCTTTATCCACCGGGTTCCTATGGCTCAGCATTGGCAGCAGCCGCCTGGTACCGGTAGGCTGTGCCGCATGACCCGAGAGTGAAGCGGCACAGTCTACCCACGCCGTTTGACATCGGCTCAGGTCGCCGGGTGGAGCGCTTTGTAGACCAGCTGTTGCGTCAGACCAGCGCGGGGGGAGGGGCTCGTCTCGGTGGTTGGCGTGGGCTGGCGAGTGGTGTGGGGCGTGTTGGTGGACCATGGGGGCTGGGCGGTTGTGTGTGGTCACTTGCTGCATTGCACATTTTGCGTCGCTTAACAATTGCATTCCTGTTTTTGCTAAGCACCATGCACGGAAGACCCAGCGAATATAATTTACTTTACTTGTGCATTGTGCAAAACGTGATTTGCACGGTATCGAGGAAACCATAGGTCTTGTGCCACATATATGCATGATATTTAGGCAATATGCGTTTATGAAAATGGTAGATTGATCCTGGATGTCAATTCGTATGCTAAATGTCGACATGTATTAAATGAACGAATGAATCAATCAATCAATCAATCGACAATCGACATATAGGTATAAAACCGTATAAATGGCTCGCAACCACTAAAATCAAACCAGATTCTAACTCGGAAAAGTAACCCGGAGCCCCGATGAGGCTCGAACCGGGACTCCACGTTGATAGTTTTGCCAATGATCCATCATCATTCCACCAAGCTAGAGCGACCGGCACCCGAAACCACAAAAACATTCATTGACTTTGCTACCGACCGCCCGGCCCCGCCGCCCGCCCGGCCGGACTCTGCCCCGGCCCAATCCGCTATCCGGTGTAGCTCAGCGTAGGAGCGCTAGGCTGTCAAACTGACCGGTAGTGAGAGGCCCGGTTCGAGACGCTTCGCGTGCTGGATGTTTATTTGTGTGTGGGAGGCTTTGCGATTAGTCCACTTTTCAGAAAGATTATTTGGTGACTGACCTTGTTTTCTTTCTTTGCTGCAATTCATGAGGAGACCGTATGGACCCTTACCTGTCCTTCCGCACCCCACTTGGGAGATGGGTGTTTGAACCCCCTGGGCTTTGTGAATATCTCTAAGTCGAATTTTTGGAGGGTGGATTACGATCGGTTCTATGCGACAAGTGACCACACACAGTGGCACACACCCAGCCCCAGGTCCGCTCACTCCCTCCCCACATCACCCCCGCCCCACACCACACTCCAGCCCGCCTCATCCACCGAGCCGAGCCAAATCGACAGGCATGACCCTTACCACCACCCCCCACCCCCTCCCCCCAGCCGGTGTAACGCAGCGTCCGGTCAAATCGCTCTACCAGGCGACCCGAGCCGGTGTCATACAGTGTGGGTAGGCTGTGCCGCTTCACTCTCGGGTCATGCGGCACAGCCTACCGGTACCAGGCGGCTGCTGCCAATGCTGAGCCATAGGAACCCGGTGGATAAAGAGTAGAGGACCATCAACCTGTACACGACTGTACCTTGCACCACGCCCTCTGCCTGGTACATGGCCGAGGCCTTATCACCATCCAGAGCTGTCCTTCCGCCGGCAGCCAGACGCTCCACCATCCTGAACGCAGACGGCACACCCTGTGTTAGTCAGGTATTTGGAAGGAGGCCGGGCTCAAAATATATATGCGAGGGTGAGCTTTAAACGTCAACAAGGCGTTTTAAATGGCACCATTACAACTGGACTGACATCACATATTTAACTGTATTTTTTATACATTACAACTGGACTGATCATCACATATTTAACTGTGTTTTTTTATAATAAACTCAATAGCCGACCACAAAAAGCACAGCCAAGGCGCGAGTCAAGCGGAGGGATGGACGACAGATGGCACAATCCATCAATCCATCAGGTTCGAGGCACAGCCCACCGCTGAGGTGATGTGCGGGTTTACTAATATCAACAGATGGCTTTTCCTGACGAGTTTTAAATACAGAGTGATCCAGGAGTAGACAACTAAAGATAAACCTGCATCTACGAGGATAACGATACATGCGAGCTACATTCCAAGTGTCATTGTAGTCTGGCATATTGTTGCTAAGATAGCAAACAGAAGCAAAACATGACCACGCACTGGCAGATCCGACTGGGAATAGGCGTAATGCTAAAATTTTGCCGTTTGGGAGGGGCAATTGCCCTACTTGCCCTCCCCTGGACCCGCCACTGTAACCACGACTGAAACCGCACATTACTTCTGCGGGTGGATTTTACATTCATGGGTTGGGACTTAGGACTGGAGCTATAAACAGGATGGCCAGGGATCGAGAGAATGACAGGGTATAGGAAAAGGAAAGGAACAGGTAGGATTATCAGCAAATAAGATGAGGACTCGAACAAGGACTGATGTGCTATGACAGAGCAAAGCGGGATGCGAGGCAAGCATGCTGAAAGAGTGACTGAATGATAAACAACATATGTAATAGAGGAAGGAATTGATCAAAGTGATAGAAGAGAATGAATGCACTGAGAATGAGGAGAGGGGTCTAGGCCGAAGTGGCGTTATGTGAGAAGACACGTCATTACATGGATGAACAAGGGCTGGACGTACGATAAACGACAGCGTCTAAAGAATGGAGCAGGTAGGAGGAGAGAAAAAGACATCACAGAACAAGAGAGGCCCGGCGAGGAGAGGACAGGACCTGGGAAGGCTGCAGCAGGGCCCGCCGCCCGGCACCGGCCGGCCGCCCAGCAGCTCAGCGTACTGGAGCAGTCCGCCGTCGCGGAACTTCTGAGAGAAGGCCGTGAAGGCGCCCACGGTGATGACATCGTGGATCACGGAGCGGTCGGCAGCGGGCGCGTCGGCCACCAGCCGCTGCAAGTGCAGGTTCACCGGCACAAACTCCAGACTTGGGTCACCCTTCACAGTGGAGCGCTTGAAGAATGGGCCTGAAATCACGGACAGACGAAATGGATCGTGACACAGCTAGTCAGCAATGGTCTGGCCAATCTAACCCCTGAGCACAAATGAAAGAACACTGTAACAGAGATAAGATTCAAGGAATATTCATACAAAAATTTCATAACTTCACACGGTGCACGCTCGTTCTCACTCCTCCGAACATATGACACGGATCCTCACCTTTGTGGGCCTTGAGAGTGGTTTTTGACACTGAGTAGGAAGCAATAATATCCTCATGTCGTCTCACAGCATCCCTCACCAGGTCAGAGAGTGGCGGCAGAAGGCTCTTCAGCTGCTTCATCTCATCCAGGAGCTCAGCTTCATCTTTGGAAAATAGCTCTCTGTCGAAAAAGACAGATGTCAAAACAATGAAATTAAGCACAAGTAAAAAAATAATTTGTTTGAACGCAAAAGGCAATGACGAAAAGAAAGCAGCTTGGGGATTACTTGCATTATACATAGTGAAAGCTATCTTTAGCTCAAAACAAAAAGTAATAAGTACCTACCTATCATTTAGATACTAGGTACATAATTGGACCAGAGAAAACTCACATGAGGCGAATAGGAATCTGGAAAGAGTACTGTGTATCAGCTAACAGTTCCCTGGCACGAAGGTCGGAACCATCTTCCTGAACTAGCGCATAGCTCTTGCTCCATGGATCATCAAACAAAGGCTTCAGCTCGTCCATAGCATCCATGACTGAAATTGGAAACAGTGAATCATGTCAAACCAAGATGCACAACAGCTTTCATAATAAAATTATCAAAGCACAAAAAAAAATATATAAGGTAATGCTGATCTCTCTCCCTCTCTCTCCCAAAACCACTTCACGGCCTCAGCCTAGCACAGTTTCACTCCCTCCCCCGCCCCATTTATTGCCACTGACTACTGAGGGTACTCTCGCGGCCACTGAATACAGATAGAGAGATATCGTTATGACATGTCATCCTTAACTTTGTTGATCTTACTAGAAGTAATGTTTGGACGCAATTGATTCTGAACGTTTGCCCTACGAACTTCGCCGGTGCTGTGACTGAAGTGGAGCGTTTGGACGCCCCTTCCTCGATGAATGTGTTCAGCTCCATAACATGAATTGACTGATATGCATCTCATGACATGCATCTCATGACTGATATGCTCAGGTCATGACTTTGTCCTACGGTCAAAACATTTGATCATTTGATGCACTTAAACAAAGAGGTAAAGTCTTATGTCAACTGAAGAGATACCTAACAAAACATAATATTCCACAAAAATATCAGTTTTGAGGGAGTTTGCCCTCTGTAGCCAAACTGCTGGTCTTAGCCCAGATCGAGGGCACATAAGCAAAAGAGCCTAGAAGAAATTGCAGAGGTCAGAAGGTTTATGTGATGTTTTAGCTATACTTATTCACGAATTATGAATCAATTTGTTGATGGATGTCGAAATCAGGAAAATTTGGCAAGGTTAAGAGAGGTAAGCTTTTACCTTAATTGTGACCTGATATTTGGCCTGAAAAAACAGGCTAGAAAATATACATTCTCCATAATTTTTTTGACAATTCTTCAGTGTCTCTTAACCCTCACCCGTATTCGTGTTTTGCCAGCCGCGAGCGTGTGGGGGGGGAGGGGGGGTCCGTTGGACTCCCTTGCCGTTTGGCCCCTGATCGAGCTAGAGCTTCGCGGGAAAAACGAGCGTGTTGCCCGTGACGAGAGGATGCCAATGATACACAACTTTAAGGTCCTATGCCATTGCTTGACCTTCCAGGTCAGGTCAATGACCCAAAATTCGGGAAAATCGGGACTTCTTAGAATGTCATAAAGTGTGGCTGCTATGGAGTTTTCGGGGTGCCGATCACGAATAAAAAGTTCGTTTTGATCATAGATGATGTCTTCATGCATTTAGGTCAGGTCGTGTCAGGTTAGGTCAAACAGTTATAGGGTCCTGCCGCCTATTCGGAGTACGTGTCAACCGCCCCTGACAGCTTCGAAACATGCAAAACTAGATAAGGTGAACCGAGGTCATCAAAGGTCAATGACCTGACCTGACTTTCAGGTGACCTTGACACACACTCTAATGCGTGGGACCAACATCATATCATATGTTTGAACGCTTGAAACCACGAAAAGACTGCAAACGCGCGGCTAGTGCGAGCCGACATACGTCGAATCGCGATTCCGGCCAAACATGGTCTCGAAAAGTAGGTAAGGTACAGGTCAAATGTCATTTGGGTCAAGGTCATGAAATTTTCAGAGTAAGTGTAAAATTGATCAACTCGAGGGTACTGAAAGTTTCGTCGCGATCGGTCACTTTTTACGCGAGTTATTCGCGAAAAAAGGGGGTCCGTTCGACCCCACCCTACCCCCTTCACGGGCGAGGGGCTACCAGTTGCTTGGTGTCACCTACCTCAGGAGCTGAGTTTGGTGGGGAAGGGGGGGGGATTAAATGCCCCACCTGTTTCAATGTGGCATGAACAGACTGAAATTGCAGGAGTGAATGCACTTGACACTTTGATCTGTTGCCTTTCTTCTACCCCACACAGGAAGAGTCTGATGGTCTGGCTGGTTGACAAGTGCAGGCTGCAGATGCAGGATGCTGTCTGTCACTGCCCTAATCAATACCACAGGAGTCTTTCGAGGCTTGGATCAGAATCATGCTACTCTGTGCATCCTCCAGCAATCTGACACTTTATGCTAGTCATCTTATATGACTGATAACACAAGAGTATTGGATGGTGGCCCACAGCCTCAAGAGTCTCAAAAGTCTTGTATAATGCATGGACATTACATTAAAGCTAGAAGAAAGAACATCAATCCTTTGGTTAACTGCCCAAATTAACCAAGCTTGCTTACATTTTTGGATCATTTAAAGAAGAGACAATGGAGTAGTGTATGCATGTTGAGAGCAATGGAAAGTTGTCTTAATAAGCTCATGTATTCCAGCTAAGAGATCACATTTAGAACTTCTTCAGGTCTTTCTAGACTGTCCATGTTATGCATGAAAAAGCACCACCACCCCAGCATTCATACAGGCACTTAGAATGGTACTGCTCAGTGCTCATTAGATAAGTTAAGTAGGAAAACACTAGGCAATAGCGCAATGCTTTACCATATGCCCTAAACTAAAAGGCTGTAAAAGCTGCATTCCTTTATGAAGCTACTGATTACTTATACTGACTAATACTGAAACAAAAGCAGGCAAAGGCTTTAGGAAAAACCTACGTTTATATTATTTATCTATTTATATACATTGTCGGAAAAACATTACCATAATTCAGTTATAAAAATGTAACATTGATATTTTTCACCTTCTTTAACAGAAGAGCTTTCAGATTCTAAGCCACTCTTCCCTTTGTTTGATGATCCACCTGGCTTCGTAGATTTAGGACTAGAGGATGATTGAGATTGACTTTTTTGAACATCCTCTGATTGAATTTTTTCTTTCTTTTTTGACTTTTCAGCTTTCTTTTCCTTTGAATTTGAAGTTTGTTTTGGGGGAGCTGAACCCTCCCTAGGTGCTGAAGAAGTTCCATTCTCCTTTGCTTTAGAATTTGACTTCACACTACCACCAGATGATTCTCTCTTCTTTTTCTTATCTCCTGACTTTGACTTTGGCATCACACTTCACAGTAAGCCTAACAAGAGCTGATAAATGGAAGGCTTCAGTGTATCAGATCCCACAATACGAAAGATGGTAATTCACATTATTAAGGATAGAAAAACAATAAGTCCAAAATTAAATGCTTATGAAATCATTGAAAAATCTTCAAAGATAATGGAAGGTCATTGAAATCAATGAATAATTATTGTCTGCTGATCATGAAATCATTGAATGCTGAAGGAAAATGCAGGGGTGAGTTGCGCCAGCATTTTGAGCTCAACATACGCATCATCACAACTCAAATCTAGGAAATACCCATGCTCCTCTTGTAACGGGCTTTCAAAATTAAAATTTTAATAATGCTTAACAAACAGTCGGTAGTATACCACGGATTTAATCACGCTTTTATATTGCCTTAGCCACTAATTGGAATTTTGGCAAGACGCGATTACTTTGGCAAGACGAGTGTCATGCGCAAGATGACGAAAATTTACATTGATGGCGCAGAAAAGACAAAATAAGATCAGCTGTTTTGGGATATACATCAAACTGGCCTTAGTTTTATTTTGTTCTTTGAAATCTTAAGCTTATTGAACCACCTTCACGTGACCTTGGCACCCACCATAATACATGCGACCAACATCATTTCACATGTTTGAACATTTAAAAGCACATTTAGACTGCCTGCAAAAGCCCGGACAAAGTGAGCCGACACACGCCGAATCGCGATTCCGGCCAAACATGGTCTCGAGAATTAGGTCACAGGTCAAAGGTCATTTGGGTCAGGGTCATGAAATATTAAGGATATGTGTAAAATTAATTGACCCGAGGTTACTGAAAGTTTCGTCACGATCGGCTGTTTTTCACGCGAGTTACTCTTGAAAAACCATGGGGGTCCGTTCGCCCCCCCCCCCCCCTACCCTTGTTAACTTGCGAAATGAAGCCGGCCGAAACCGCTCCAGTTGGCGGCAGGCCAGCATAGAATAAGCGGTAAACGGTATTGTCGGGAAAACGGCCGAACATTCTGTGCCTTTACAGTTTGCAGTGAACACGCATACCTCACGTTCTGTCCCTGGCTCCTTGATCCGGCCACGATCACAGAGTGTTAAAGACGGATTCGGCTGACGGATCACCGGTTCCATGGTAGCTATGTGATGAGAACGTTAACATTCCATAGTGCCTTGTTTGAGGGCAATAACTGTTTTTCCTTGCTCGATACTGGATACGCGTCGGCGTTCGAGAAGTGATACCTACTTTTGGTTTTATGTCGGTAGGTACGTTAAATTTGAAGACTCGATTTTGCTTTGTTTTCAATATTAGTTTAAGGATGAGCATCGTTTCGATTCCATTTTTTTTTTTAAGTTTCACAATCGTGTGAAATATATACGGTTTTTATGAAGAATTACCCTTTAAGTCACCCGTTGAATAACTAGTCATGTATACCTACCTAACTTTGTTTCGGCCCTAACTTGTCATGTAGGTACCTATAATTATATGTAACTATTGCAATATATTATGCGGTGTCTTCCACATTAATGCTAGCAATTATGAAAGTGACATTCTGACATATCTACCTGAACTCGAAGCGTCATCTGCCGACTGGAGCGCACGAGTTCCAGAATGCCACTGTCCAGCAGTTCGTTTTCCCATTCAAGTTATATAGGCCTGCAGATAACGAACAAGGCCCCACACGTGCCGATGTAGCCGGCATTTGGCCCAACCCCGGTGACACGACGCGGACACCTCTGCGCTGGTCTAGGCGTAGGGTAGACCGGGGCAAGTCGCCCCGCCGAGGTAAAACGCCTCACCGATGTTTCTCGGAACTGGCAGGGTTCTGGGGAAACATCATCTCTTCTATAAAACGTGCCCTATATGATCATTATATGAGCAGACTGGAAAGAAATTGTGATGACTCTTTCGGGAGATATAGCCAAAAATGTGTTTTTTGAGTGATTTTTATGTTTTGTTGTCAGATTATGTATCATGGCGTTCTTTTATGGTCCACATTAGGTTAACGACTTTTATGTATTTTGAACAACTATTGTCTAACGCTTATCATGCCGGGTTGGTTCGTGTTAAATTATGTCTTCCTGGAGTGCAAGGCGTTGTTCTCTGGCCGAACTACGTGATGGGGTAAAACGCCCCAGTAGGTCGCGGGGCAAAAAGCCCCTGGGGCGTTTTACCTCATGTGTTGTTCGGGCTACCCACTTCCTTATGTTCGGTAGCTGGCGAACAGTAAGTTTCTATGCCTTTATGTGTATTTTTCTCAGCAACTGGATGGCAAAGGAAGTATTTTGTTAACATTTGCATTGCAATAATTTATTACTTGGTCTTATGAGGTAGGTGAAAAACCTGCTCATACAATAGTGTCATAGCTGAGCACCTGACAGGATGGAATGTGCTAACTTCAGTGCCGTGCCTCCAGAGGTCTAACGGACCTCTCACATAAGATTTAGCCAACTACCATGTTAAATCTTTAATCTAAAGTATGGGGCTACTTGCCCCAGGCCGTGGGGCGTTTTGCCCTGGGGTTGGGGCAAAATGCCCCATTTGCAGTTGTTTCACAAATCACTTCCTAGCTTGGAGTCCGATCATAAGTGAATCCATTTGAGGGGTGCAATTTAAAAGTAAAATGTCCAAAGAACGCATTGAGCACAAATTTGGCCTTCCAGGTGATGTTGGACAAAATTTATGCAGTAAAATAAATCATCTGGGGCGTCTTGCCCCAGGCTACCCTACTTAAAACCAGTTGCGTGGACCAGCAGCTCGCACACGCTTGGAAAGGTCGCAACGGGCCGGCGTGCGCTTATAACCCAAACGAATGGTCTGCGGTGACGTGACGAGTGCGAATATTCCACCAGTAGATCCAATTGTGATTTTAGTGGGAAGCAAGGGCATGTAGAAAATATTTTGAATATACCTATAACCTAATAAACTAATGCATGAAAACATAAAATATGGTGATAGGTGATCTTCACTTGTCTGTTCACCCAACGTGCAGTGTTGGAAACCCGCCGCATTTGACGGTCGTCTGTGAGACGAGCAGCCGGTGGCCCAGCTTCTGCAGAGCCCACAGGGAGAGTTTGGCTAGCACCCACACCTTTTATTTCAGCCGGCGCCGCCGCACGACGCCCAAAAGAAACAGTCGCCAAGACGTGAAAACCCTAGCGATTTCCGTGCTAATTTGCCCAATAGGGTGTGTCATTTTGGGCACTTTTTTCGCAAAACATGGTGCTCCACTGATTTTATCGTGCCCCAGACACGTAGAAACCGTGTGACATTTTTTATTTCCCCCAAATATTAAAACCCATGCGGCGCCGACCGCCGACACTTTGGCCTATCTCTCAGCATTAGCGACCTCAGCGCCCCTAGCGGCAATGTTTTGAACTAACACGCTCGCTATGCTTTGTGAGCTTACGATCATCATTAAAGGGACCCTCCCACCTTCAAAAAAGTTAATGAATTGGCATAAAAGTGATGTAGCGTGAATCACAAAGAGCGAAAATGAACATCTACCAAATTTTACCGGAAAATATTCAACCGTTTTCGAGATATAAGACTTTTATTTTTGTTTACTTTTTGGGAACTCCGCTGTTTCTATGACGTCACATAAAGGTTTTCTTTACGTCGGCATTTGGAAGCAATAATTTGGTATCAAAGTGCGACAAATATTGCGCGAATGATGCGTTTATCTTATCAAGGTCAATATATGATGGCCAACAAAGGATTCCAGGACAATTCTTCTTATGGCATTTTTTCGTATCGCAATTCTTCGTCTGCAAATCTTCGTCAGGGCATTTATTCGTATCGCATGACTTTGTCTCGCATCAGGATATATGAAAATCGGCTCGCATTTCTTCTTCAACGCAAATATATGCAAGAGTAAGCATTGATGGACAAATAAATGCACCGACGAAGATTTGTAGACGAAGAAATGCGGACGAAGAAATGTCATGCGAGGATTCGTTCGGGTACCATGACATTTATGTGATTTCAAAGTCAAGGTTCACAGCTGATCTGCTAAATCAAGCCAAGAATCCAAACTATCAAAAAACTATAAATATTTGTTTGTCTGTCACAGAGGTCTCAAGCAATATAAGGTTGGCATATGTTGAATCAAAAATCTACTGCCACAACTCACATCTCCTGCCTTAGTTTATCATTGTTGTTTTAACTTGCTTTCAAGAGAAACAGAAGCCAGTATCTGATATCACTTCAGATGATTGTTTCAAGATCTGAGTTCAAATGGAATTAAAAGCAAGATCAAGATGAAACAGGGATTATTGCTGTTAAAGTAGTTTGGCCATGATACAACAGGCACATAAATCATTAGCCAAATCAAATACTGGTTGGTTTGTCAAGATGTTTGTTGTCTGTCGTCTGTCGAGCTGCTATGAACACTGAACGCTCTCACTCTTACTTTAAAGAGAGTAGTTTAAGTTGAATGGTAGTGAGCTGTAATTAGACAAAGCAGCTATTCAGTGCTCACATCAAGCCAGGCTAGGAAATGGCATCAACTGTGGTGGGAGGAAGCAGGTTCGGCAGGCCTATGTTGTAAACTTCTGTTGTGTCTTGTGTTTGATCAACTGATGTTTTCTGCTCTGTTTTGTGCAGTGATAGAAGCAGGTAACTGCATGCTTGTCAAATTATGTGAATAAACGAATTCATAACATTGCATTTTTCTCTCCATGCAAGGAACAAGTAAGATGTTGTAGAAAATGTAATAGAGGGCTGCATTGCTGATTTCATGCATTTTATCAGAGCTTTATTTAGAATTGCTTTCCTGAAAGCTACACACAGGCCACAGCACTGAAATTCACAATGTCATAGCTTTTGGCAGAAAAAAAGAAAAGACTTGCCTAGGTAAAATTGGCTGAAAGTATGGTAGAGCAGGTCTTGATGCGTATGCCCATCCGTGTGCTTGCCGAAGCCGAACTGACTGCAACACATTAACTCTGACCCACCATGGTGGCTGGCATATCCTGAACTTTCACCACTCTAAACAAGACAACTTTCAGCCCTCAGCATTGTATTAAAACACTGTACATGGCAGTTGACACTCAAAATTTGCTTCAGTGCCATCCACGGACAACATCAGTCGCCATTCACCAGGCCAGTAAAAACAGAATAGATAATAGCTTCAAACCCATGTAGTCAGAGTTACTAGGTCTGCACCTCAAAACAAAATCCAGGTGACATTCACCACGCCAGTAAAAAAAAAAAAACAGGTAGGTACTTAGGTAACGTAACAGCTTCAAATCTGGTAACATGTTGGTCGGACTTAACACTACCATATGTACATGGAATAATATGATACCAAACAATAGTGCAACCATTCTGGACAACAAAAGTGTATGATAAAATTAATTTAGAATACTTTGGCAGCATGATTTACGAGCACAGGCAGGTGTTACCTACCAGCCTTCTCAATGCTCGTAAAACCAACATTGTAGTTTTGATTTTACCTTACATGATAACACACTTGGCTGCAATGGCACATTTAATTTAACACTGTGAAAAGACCAGTTATAACCACTTCACAAGCACAATTGCACCTCATGCCGACATCCTTTTCCAAAGACAGTCAGCAGCGTCTTTCGTCAAAACTGGAAGATCAATCCCCTTTCACTCACCTGGTTCACTCACCTGGTGGGGTTCCCAATCTCACGTCTGCAGACAGGAAGGAGTAGGCAGGGATACAGTAGGAACCCGCAGACACAAGGCGCACCAGCAGTTGCTACTACCGGAGTGGAGCGCCTGCACACATGTTTGCGCGAAAGCAGGCATGGTTCAAGATGCAAACAAGAGTAGTTGTGTGTACATAATTGATGCAGGAGAAAGACAAAGTCAATGCTACTTTAAATGTGTCCATGGTACAGTGCATTTCGCAAGACGGAGAACAAAACAAGGCGGTTAGTGAAAGTCATACAGAGCGTCGCCTAGGGCTTCCGCCAGCAAACCCTTAAAGGTTTTGTAGTTAGGTTCCATTACGACGTGCTCCGGGAGGGAGTTCCATAGTCTCACACCGCGCACCGAGAATGACCTACGCCTGACATCACCTGACAATTTTGATGTTTCAACTGTTAACATCAAAAATATTTCTTCATGGTGTGCTCTCCTATGGAAACCTTGCGGGAAAAGAATTAATGTCAATTGTCAGCTCTTCAAATTTCTTTGGACTTAAACTTGCAGTACCATATCCAGTTTGCTTTGATATTTTGTTTTTCATTCCATGTTGAAGTTGAACACCAAGCTCCAGATATAGCAGGCAGCTTGATCATCTTCGGCCTTGGTATAATATCAGTCCAAGTTCCAGTGGTGGGTATCTTCTAATATTCAAATTAAAATGAAAAGCAATAGGCTTTCTCAGCGCCGACGACGGATTTCACGTTGATAAAAAAGGGAGCTCAAGGTCAGCAAAACTCGGGTTCAAGGAATGGCGGGCGTTGAAATGACTGCTGACGTCATCAACAAACCGCTAATGGTTAAGAGATAGGGACTAAGCTGGTCCCACCCTGCAAGTAAAGGGAAGAAATTTCTTGAACACCATAAAGCTGCGGGGGTTGCGACCAGGATAAATGGTGGTTTCTGAGCCTGGCCGCAAACTTGGCTATCTCAACTCAAAACTAATGTTAAGGTGGGATGGTCCCTTTAAATGCATTTTACCGAAATGACGCCTTGCTGTTGGCTTGTCTGGCACTCAGAATGTTGGTGAAAATGTGATGTTATGCATCTTAAAGCACGAAATAGTTCTGTGTTAATGTATATTGCATAGTACTACCCCCGATCCCCGTCCTGGTCTGACGGGATACGTACGAGCGCATGTTTATAGTGCCTGCTATTAGGTGTCACATGTTTTTTTTTTGTAGCGTCGTTCACTGCATAGACCCCGGGGAACAGGGGGGGGGGGGCAGTGGGGGCGCTTACCCCTACCCCCCCCCCTCCAACTTGAGAGCCGAGTGGGCGCCGCCCCCTCAACATTGATGCAACGATGAAGGATCTCTGCTCCCTTTTATGGACCTACATGTCTGTTTTTATATAAACATCAGCACAAGGTATTTCTCTTGCATGTGAATGGTTTCTGCTGATTCGGCATCGATTTAAGAACACCTGCTATTGTCATCCCACTTTGATTTTATCTGAACTTGATCATAACTTTGGTAGGTCAGATTTTATACTGGACCATTTTGGTGCCGGATGGTATTTGATTTGTCGTGATGAGAACATTATGACGTACAACGGTGGTAAAGTCGTTGATTGATACAGGTTTACTCGCTCCGGTGGGAGGCAGTAGCGGCGGAACACCTTCAATTAAGTGGGGGGGGGGGGACACTGCCGACTTTTGGTCCCATTCTTTCCATGCAACGCCCATAGGGCTAATGTTAAAATGCCCAAATCAGAGGGGGCACGGTGCCCGGTGCCCTCCCCGTTCCGCCGCCTATGGTGGGAGGGCGGCGTGTGGGACTCAGAAGGAGACTAATGGCTTGTGTTGTGCCTTTGGTAGGACCCTCAGTATCACCGATGCAGGGCCTTCAGAGCCTCCAATTAAGGGCCTTTAGAGGCACTGGTGTGGGGTCCTCACAGACGCCCGTGTGGCCCCTCAGAGGTGCTAGTGTGAATCCCTCATAAGCGCCGGTGAGGGTCCTCACAGAATACAGACGCCGTTGTGGACCCTCAGAGACACTGGTGTGGGTCCGTTACATGTGGGTGTGTGCCGTGTGGCCCTTAGAGCTGCTGGTGCGAACCCTTTAAAAGTCGGCAGGGGCCCTCAACGACCGGGGAGGGGGACCTCAGACCGGCAAGGGGCCCACCGAGGCCGGCGGCATTGTCAGAAGCCCTGTGGGGTCCTTAGATACCGACAAGGTACTCTGAGACGCCAGTGTGGCCCTCAGTCTCTGGTGTAGGGCCCTCAGAGTTGCAGGTAGGTGGCCGTCAGATATGCTTTTGCCGAACCCTCACAGGCGCAGGTGTGGGTACCTCAGAGCCACCAATATAGGGTTGCATAAATGGTGTGGCACTGGCTTGGGGGACCCTCAGTGGTGTCCTTATGGGCCCTTAGAACCACTGGTGTGGGTCTCTCAGAGGTGCTGGTTGTGAACCCTCAGAGGCCCTGCTGAGGGCCCTCACGGTCTCCGTTATGGAATCCTCAGAAGCCGGCGTAGACCCTGACGGAGATCTTAGTGTGGCTACTTAGGGGCTCATGAGGTGCTCTTACGAGACCTGTGAGGTCTTTCTCAGCTGAAATATAGTCAGCGTGGACCCTCAGAGGTCAGTTGGTACCGCAGGGGTCTTTATGGCCGGGTGGGCTCTCAGAAGCACCAGTGAGGGCCCTCAGTCTCACAGTCGTCGTAATGGGGCCGTCAGAGACATTGGTGTGAGGCCATTACTGATTACAGGTTGGCGTAAGGCCCTAGATATGGCCCCTCTTGGGCCGGCTAGGACTCTCAGAGGCACGCTAGCAGCCATAAGAGGCCGGTAAAGGGCCCTCAGAGGCCGCCAGTAGCCTTCGGAAGCCGGCGTGTAACCCTCATGGACAATTTAGTGAGGCTTCTTTGGACTCACGAGGTGCTGTTACGAGCCCTATTCTTTCTGAATCGAAATATGGCCAGCATAGACCCTGAGCGGTAAACTGGTGCCACAGAGCCCCTCCGACCCGAGGGGTCCTCTGAATGCGATATGGGGGGGGGGGAGTAGATGGCACGTGCCTCCTGGGACCCCCTGACTACGCTACTATTTCATATGCGTCATGTCAGGTATTTTGGGCTTGCACCCCAACTTGAAGAATGTTCCTGGGCCCCTGTGACAATATATTGTATTCATTATAGGTATTCGTCATTAGCTTGCACTCTCTGCAATCTGCCCATACTATTATTTGTCCCTAGACGCGCTTACAGAGAGCAGGGATAAGCCCATACAGTCAACGGCCTGTTAGTTTCGCAAACAGCCGCCAGGGGCGCTAGGGTCGCCTATGTTGTGAGATAGGGCAAACTTCTCTCGCTCGGCGCCGCCTGGGGGTTAAAATTTGCGGGAAATTAACAATGCCACGCCCTTTCCACATGAGTGGAGCACAATAAAATCGATGGAGCACCTTGCATTGCGATTAGTGACACACCCTATTGCCCAATTATGCATTCATACAAGCGGCTCGCGATGACGGCGGACACTGCATAATGCCATGACCGTGAACAGTGCGCTCACGCGCGAGCACGCTTCGCTTCGCTTTCGCTGGCTGGCTCCGTGCGTAGTTGCAGCCTCCGACGCCAGGTGTCGTCAGCGACAGCGGCGGCGGCGACGGCGGTAGCGGAGCCTGCAGTCGGCCCCAAACTCGAGCGGGAGGAGTGTGTGCAGCGCGTGTAGGCTCGTCTAGTTTCACCGGGCGCGTTTGGTGAGGGGTGCAGAGCGAGTGATGGGCTACTGAGACCGGCGGGTCAGCTGACCGGAGCGCGGCCGCCTGGCCGGAACATTGTCTCTGGGATCTGGAGGCCAATGTGAACCCGAGCACATCATGTTGTGCAGAGCCGGTGAGTAGCACTCCAAATTAAGGAAACACGCTCATTTTCAAGGAGGGATGCATTTACTTTTAATCTTTTGCTATAGCATACTACACTGACACATATTGTCTGCGAAACTAAAAGTTATGCAAACGAAGTTGCATGAATCGTGATATGACCAGTTCGCATGCAGTGTGATCGTTTTCCCAACAATTATATGCAGGACATCAGTAACGCCCGAGCGAATTCAGTTTGCGCAACTGGATTGCAACAGTGAAGCTGCGGCAGCACTGGCGGTGGGAGGGACTGCCACCATACCGTAGACATATTCGCGGTTGACTGAGATTGGAAAGCTGCTGGCTGGAATGGGTGGTGCTGCTATATCTGCGGCGGCCGCCGCCCTTCTAATCGGACCGTTTCACGGTGTGATGCGTGCTCCTAGTACGCTGACGCAGCTGTGAACGCAGCTAACAAACGAGCTGAGCGCACGTGCACTGGTGGCCCAGAGTGACCGCAGTTCGTCACAGAAAGGTAACACCAGGCGACCAGCGACTGCAGCTCAGCACATAAAGCTAGCATATCCAGCGCCCGCGACTGCTACTCAGCACACAAGGCTAGCATCGCCAGCGCCCGGCGACTGCAGCTCAGCACATAAGGCTAGCATCGCCAGCGCCCGGCGACTGCAGCTCAGCACACAAAGCTAGCATCGCCAGCGCCCGGCGACTGCTACTCAGCACATAAGGCTAGCATTGCCAGCCATAGGCGCGGGAGCCGGGGGGGCAGTGGGGGCAGCTTGCCCCCCCAACTCTGGGGCCGTGGGGGCGGTGCCCCCACAGCTTTGAGACGGAATACCACACTTTTTTTGCAAATGTTTTCTTTCTTTTGTTGAAAAAGCCGAGGGGTGAAAAATAAGTGGCCTAAAACCGGTGAGAAAACTAGATTGGGGGGTACCCTAGGTTAATCTCTATTATGGTGTGCCCCCCCCCCCCCAGTCGGAAAGTAGTTCCCGCGCCCCTGTTGCCAGCGCCCGGCGACTGCAACTCAGCACATAAAGCTAGCATAGCCAGCGCCCGGCGACTGCAGCTCAGCACATAAGGCTAGCATCGCCAGCGCCCGGCGACTGCAACTCAGCACATAAAGCTAGCATAGCCAGCGCCCGGCGACTGCTACTCAGCACATAAGGCTAGCACCGCCAGCGCCCGGCTACTGCAGCTCACGGAGGAAAAGTATCGCGGAGACTGCAGCGTCGCATAGGGAGATAACCAAATTCTTACACTCCGATGGAACGACACATTGCTGTCGGCTGAAAGCATATCATTCGCCAAGGTTGTGTCTTGTACCCTTGTATGTAGCTGCAATGCAATGACTTGCCATGGCCCATGAGAGTCATGATGGATGGTTTCATGAAAATAGAATGCAGAGTATTAATCAAGATGCGTATTGATAAAAGGCAGGTGCAATTAAGCTTTCATTGGACGGCACCGTATGTTCGATGCATTGAGCGTGTCTTTAATCAGTATGACGATAGAGTACGCCCTTTGTCGTGCCTGGTGGTCGACTCGTGTTAAGCAAGCGCTTGACTGGCGCTAAAGGCGATTTAAGGCTGTCGTAATTGCCCATTTGCCGTGTATTGCAGGTCTGAAGGTGTCTACGCGACTTTAATAGCGTACTACGAAACGGACGCTTCTTTGATAGAGCGCGTGTGTCGTGCGTGCTTTGAATGAAACATAAACCGATGAGGTGAAGTTTTATGTTTCGAATATGAGGATTTGCTACACTGCGGTGATGCCAAGCTTTATGGATCAAATGAGTGAGGACTGAGGATGTGCGCATTTTTTAGAACTTATAAATTTAGGCTACCTAGTCGGGTTAACTCGGGTATAATAGTTTTGCTGTCCTGTGAAAGACATTCTGATAATTGTTTTTAATTACACCGTTTATATTAAATAGGCATTACAATGTAAGCAAATGTATAATGGGCGGTCAATATCAAACGAGACTTCAGTATCAAAACATCTAATTGAAACATCCACATTCTTCAACAGCTCCACAGCTGCTTGACTTGCCTCGGTATCCTCAGACGCCCCATGATAAATTGTTATACAGGAATTAATGGCAAGGCGGCTTCATTGTTGGCAGTCATTTAACGGCTGGCGATCCATCAGAGCAGCGCTGAGCGTAGTTGGACGGCATTAGCATGCACGGAGTCTGGACAGCGCTACATTCACGCAGCGGCACGTCTTAGGTAGCTGTTTGGCCCTGGTCCGACTGCCTCGAGTAAACTTATGGTGAGGAAGGTCTGGCAGCAGCCAGCATATCTATGTGTAGAATCCAGACTTGACTCAAGCCGTGCATGTGCATGTGCATGGCTTGAGACTGCCAGTAACGTATAGACTCTTGGTGTGCGACATGCTAGAATGTAATTAATCTAAGTGATGTGAATGAACAAGCAGTTGTGGAGTCTATGGCCTTTTTAAAAAAGAAGTTCACAGTTCACACCGAGTCTGTCGGATCATGGTTTTACTCGTAATGTCTAGTATGTGATGAAGTCTAACTATATTCCCCTTCCAGTCACTTTGTCGGATTTCGTAAAGCGAACCATATTCACCTCGCTGCGAAACACCAAACATTAGGAGGCACTTGATCGATTCCGTCCCGTCGACCGCAACCTACGCCAAATGTATCTTGGCTGCCTGTCGTTTCAATGTTTTCTGTCGAAACTTTTCCTGTTCCATCTCGCTGTAGACTGTTTATCTTCAATCAACACCAGAACTACCGCCTAAAACGCACTAGCTCCAAGTTCCAACCTTTACCCTATACTCCAAATCAATTGCTCTCCGAACCAAAACTAATTGTCCACACCGCTTCAGAGCCCTGAAGAACTCAGCTCGCCATTCTGTCCCAGATTCTGCAGACTGCCCAAGAGATCAGCTTTGAACCTGACCGAGAGCCTAGATTCTACTCTGCCGGCTCCGTGCGTTCGCTCCATCCCGCGGGGGCCGCCCGTGAGCGCCGCCGAGTGCCTCTGTTACGCCGCTGGCGGTCGCGCTGAACGCTCCGTGGCGGTCTCGTGGCTGGGGGTCAGGTCAGGTCGGCGGGGGTCGGCCGGAGGTCGCACCGGTCCGCTCCTGGGGTCAGCAGGTCACCACGCATTGGGACCGTTCTCCCAGATCAAGGTCTGCGCCTCGGGGCCAGCGGCGGCGCGCCGACGGCGAGGGTGGCGCAACGGCGCCTCCGACGGCCGCTCCGATTGCGACAGGCGCCGCGCCGACCACCGCGCCGCGCCGAGATCGCCGCCGGACGACAGATGCGGCGCGCAACTAGCGCACCGGCGCCATAACTGGCGCAGCGGCGGCGGTCCGGCTGCGTGCCGCTGTGACGGACGGCGACACGGATCGGGCCCGGCTGCCACCTCGCTCCGACAGCTGCCGACGACGGACGAGGATGGTGGACGATCTACCGCTCCTGAAAGCGGGCTGCGCTCCAGCAGCTCTAATTCAGGTCACCCTTGAAGTGGCAGTAATTGACTTTATCCGGACCATTTGGGATATTGAGGACAATGCTACAAATGAGCGATATTTCTAGCGGATGTAAAACCAGGTCACTGAACACAGTTGCTCCCTTTGACAGACATCTCGAGCACGGTACTTACTAAACTCGGTTCGGTCGGTCATCTGATGGAAAATAGACCATCTTTGTTTGAAAACGAGCAAAACCCGCCGGGGGTTCGCATTTGCCATGCTGACCAGTGAGTCCGGATCCGATACAAAAGTCGATCGATGATTCGCTTGTTGACATCTAGATTGTAACAAAAAGTACGTTGATTTACATATGTGTGCTATGCTAGTGACAAAGCAAGCAAGTCAGAGGACGAAAAGCATCTTTTGTATTCAGTCAGCATAAGAGAATATCGGTGCTCACTTTTTATATGCTTGCTTTGGCTGAAAACGACCGTGAAAGTATGATTTCATCCGAACCTAGCATATGGACCGTAGCAACGGCACCTACCGCTAAATCACCTCAATATGCCCCTGTAAAGCGTTCGGAGCATCAGCTGCGCACTATCCGCGGTTTACCACAAATCTCTGTCGGCACGCCACCAGCCGGGCCATAGCCCTGCTCCCCGAACTCCCAGGCGCGGCGGCCGGCCGCGTTACCTCACTCTCACACAGGTGATGTAACTCGTCTGCCGACCGCACTCACAGTGGGTCCGAGGGGCGCGGGCCGGCGCCGGGGCGTCTTGCACGCCGCCGGGCCGTGCGGCGGTCACCAGGCCGGTCACCACGGCCGTCGGCACGCCGCTGGCACGCCGCACGGCTGCGCGACTGTCCGGTGAAATCCGCACGGCGCGGCGGTGCTCAGTGGCGCGTGTCCCGGCGCGCCGCCGCTGCCGGCTTTCTCAGCGCCGCGTGGGACTGACAGCGGCTCTGCCACCGGGCAGTCGGGTTGGGCTGACAGCGGCTCTGCCACCGGTGTGTGCGGCAGTCACTGACAGCGGCTCTGCCACCGGTGTGCACTGACAGCGGCTCTGCCACCGGTGTGCGGGAGTCACTGACAGCCGCTCTGCCACCGGTGTGCACTGACAGCGGCTCCGCCACCGGTGTGTGCGGCAGTCACTGACAGCCGCTCTGCCACCGGTGTGCACTGACAGCGGCTCTGCCACCGGTGTGTGCGGACTGACAGCGGCTCTGCCACCGGGTGCAGTCGGAGAGGGTTTGACAGCGGCTCTGCCACCGGTGTGTGCGGCAGTCACTGACAGCGGCTCTGCCACCGGTGTGCGCGGCAGTCACTGACAGCGGCTCTGCCACCGGTGTGTGCGGCAGTCACTGACAGCGGCTCTGCCACCGGTGTGTGCGGCAGTCACTGACAGCGGCTCTGCCACCGGGTGCAGTCGCAGAGGGTTTGACAGCGGCTCCGCCACCGGCACGCGCGGCATTCGGAGTGGCCAGACTGCTGAGCCACTGCACTGCTCCACAAAGGGGCGGACTGCTGGCCCTTGTCCCGGCAGTGAGCGGACCTTGTTGTTAGAG